TTGTCCCGGCAGCAGAAACCACAGTCTCTCGAATAGACGGAGCTCCCTCAACCTACAGTGAGGTGATCGTGCTCTACTACCTTGCGACATCCCTGACTCCCAGCCACCGCCATCGGACTGTGTCGTCCCCATAACCACCGGCGTCCTTATTCATGCATGGCCTGCTCCGACCTTCACTCAACGGCAAGAGAAATCCTTCCTGCATATTATCCCATCTCCCCCTATCCCATTTCTCTTTTGTAACATAACAAAGAATAAAGTCTATAACCAGCTCTTTGTAAAGCATCTCAAGATAACATTTGTTAGGAATTAGCGCTATACAAAAAATGAAAAGTCAAGGAGCAAAATATTGAACTCATTCAATAATAAAGGCCTGAATAAGAGAAAACAACGAGCTGGCTAAAAATGGTGTTTCTAATACTTTGCATGTTAGAAAGTGACCTCAGGAGAAGAATAGGCCCAACAACCAGGGTGTTGTTTTGCATTCAACAAATTAAAGGTGGTAAAATCAATTTTTGTTGACCTTAAATGTTTTTTGTATTGAGTGTCTTCTTCTGTTTAAAATGCTCTGATTTCAACTGTGTAAAGCTCTTTGAGTATGAAAGTTTGAAAAACGATCTTGACATCTCAAGTTTATTATCGTACTGTCAGCTGATTTTATTTAATAACATGAACTGGTCTTTGTTTAATCCTCCCACTTGTCTGTTTTTCTGTATTTCTTGCAGATTTACCATGATTTTCCAACTAATCTCTTAGACTCTAAGATCTTTTTTTCTTTTCTTTTTCTTTTAAACATTTTATGGCTTTTAACTGATATTTATGAAGTTGAACTCATATGACCAGAGTTTGTTTCCTCCGTGAAGCACGTGCAGCAGTTTACAGGTCAAACGCTGAGCCTGATTTACTCTGCCGCTCTCTCCCAGACTTACTGGGAATAAAAGGAACACGCTGGTTCTATTTGTTTTATTTGGATGAGCCTGAGGTGAAGCACAGCTGAGAGCTTCAAAGAGTGTGAGGGCTGCAGGATGAGCTCTGCAGTCAGAGCGTGGTTCCCCGTCAGGACTCCCTCCAGCTTGGCTCTCCTCCCTCTGGACTCTGTTATGTAACCCGCAGACCGGCCACATCTTCCCGCTCTGATTCAGAGAAAACTCAGGCTCTTGTTTGCGGTCGGGCCCAGCAGGAGGCCCTGTGGGACCCACATCTGTCAGCTGACTCAGGGTCTTTTACAGCCAAAAGTTAACAGCAGAACAAATCTTGGCTTCCTGCATGTTTCTCATTCAGAGCTCCACGTGGGAGTCGTCCCATTTTCACAGTAATTAAGATTCAGAAAACTAATTTTCTGCTGAAGCAATGGAAGTGCCGTTTCACCGCCCCTTCACCCCGAAGGAAGTTTTTATGGTGATGAGAACGTTAACCTCTTCAACTCTGCTAAAGGAGAGAAAGGGGATCATTAAGAGAAACATAACTGTGATTTAACGCGTGGAAAACACATGTTCAAGACGTCAGCAACACATTTCACAGTCACAGGCTTGTCGTGTTTTCTTCACTGTAGTTTATGGACATGTTCTGATTTCATACAGATACAGAGACTCAACAATTCTCTACGCCCCAACGAAAGGCGGCCCTATGTCACTAACAACAACCCACAAATAGAGCACATAAAACAATGCAACAAAGTCAAAACCAAGGGATTCTAATAAGACACAAAATAACTAAATAGTAAACAAAGGACTAAATCAACAAGACAACCTACAGTCCCGGCCTGAGGGCCAAAGCTTTCTCTACTCCAAAAGCCTTCCTGGCTTTATTGCACATAAATTGGCATTGAATAACCGTGATCTAAAGACACTTACATGACATCCAAATAATCAGTGAGTATGTTCTTCTTCTCTCTAGTCTTGACTTAAACAGCTTTTATACACAACGAGAGGAGCCGGCTGTCCCGTCCTTGTAAACACGGCTCTAAAAACAACACAGCCAGCGGGACTCGAGCTTCTCACTCACTGTAGACAGTCATGACTCAGAGACACATTTAAACAGGATAGACTGGATTTATGATTCATTTATGTGTAAAATTTCCCACATTCTTCCTTTTAGAGCTGAGGCCAGGTGCACTTCGTCAGGCGATCAGTATAGCTTCAATGGCTTCAAATGACTAAAGAGAAACAATAAAAACAAATGAAATAACACAATAAAATCATGATTATTAAGAGTAGAATATCGCTGCATAATAAAAATTTTGAGCTCAACTTGAATTAAAAGCCACACAGAGAAGTGTGTCTTGAGCACCAGTGATCAAGTATTCTGCTAATAAAGAAGTTAAGTTGAGAAAATATTCTCACATGCAGAGAAAAGTCTCATGAGAGGGATCATATAACACTGTAAAAATATTAACACAGAGTTGAATCAACACATGCTAAACATTTAAAAAGCTTCATGGAGGATGATTGATTACAGCACCGAGGGATCACGATTAATTTGAGCAGCTGTTCCAAATTAAACAGATTATGAGTGTGGTTTTGTTCTCCAGGTTTCCCTCTAGTGGTCTAACATATGTACAAGCTATTTGCCTATTTAACTTTAAAAAAAAAAAAAGGACGGACGGACGGACAGAGGGAAATCAAACACACATGTAAAAAGGAATATTTTAACCTGCCTCCAACCCTCCTTTTGCCTCTAATTACAAATATTTATAAAATAGTTTAACCTTTAAATATAACCTTTAATTTGATCCTTTTAGGACATAAAAGCGTTTTGTCCATTGCTCTCTTGATCAATTATGTTTTAAGCACACGTGTGACCGTAGGAACTTTTTTATTGTTCTGGGAACTGTTCCACGTTTGGGACGTTTCCACCTTTTTTATTGATTCCGCACCGCAAGAACAATGAGAACTTTTAGCTCCTAGAACCCCGTTTACAGGAATCTTTTCAGCTCCTGCTTCAGAGTATGTATCATGGCGGTGCAAATGTAGACAGAAGAAAAAAAATCCTCATGATGAGAAGTTCTCAGGAATCGCCGAGTGGATAGATCCTCTTCAATAAAGCCCCAGAACTGTTGGATCCGAGAACACACAATGAAAAAAAAACAAGAGTTAGGTCCCATAAAACATCCATCACACAATAACACACACACACACACACACACACACACACACACACACACACACACACACACACACACACACACACACACACACATTAGCTGACAGAAAGCATAGTGTTCATGTGTATGGCAAGGTAAAATTATTATTATGGATGGGTCAAAACTTCCTCCAATTAAACAGTTAAAAACCCGAGGTCTTCCTCGTCGGCACACCTCACCAAGTTCAGTTATCTCCCATAACTATTACCCTTCTCTGGCCAAGACATCCATCTCTCACCACATGTCACCAAGCTATAGGTGTAAAAATGGACCCTCATCTTACCTTTGAATCAAACATAAAACACATCTCACCCCCCAAGACGCTGAGAAACTCGTCCACGCCTTTGTCTCCTCCAGGCTCACTACTGCAAAGCACTTCTCATCGGGATCCCTGGCAAGAGCGTACAGAATCTCCAGTACAGCGCGGCCAGGATCCTGATGAGAGTGCGGAAACAGAGCACATCACACCCATCCTGCACTCACTACACATGGCTTCCCGTCTCACTCAGGATCTCATATAGAATCTGATTACTCGGCAGGCAGCCGATTGGGGCCCCAGGCCAGTATAGGGGGCCCCCCAGGTCGAACAGAGTTTAAACCAAAGCAGTGGCTCAAAATGTGCAAAGTTTTTAATGACAGTAGGAAACCCCCCTAAGGTGGCCCGATCTCACAGGACTCACTCCTGTTGCACTGTCAAGCGTTGCATGCATTATTGCTGTGAAAACCAAAGTTTGTGAATGAAAGTCATCAGGGGAAAATGAAGGATTTTACTGTCCTCTGTAGCTATGTTTTGAAAAGAATGCTAATGTATGAAATCTGTTAAGAAAAGTTCACATTTCGCTTTTGTTTTTATTGTTGTCAGATCATTTATGACATAATGGTGATGCACCCTGGTTGGCGGGGCCCCCTGTGAAGGCCCCAACAGACTACCCATCAATGCATACACAGCAATGCCCCTCCATATCTTAAAGACCTGCTCAGCCCACAAACCCCCGCCTCCGATCTGCCGCCACCAACTGCCTCCAAACCCCCAGGACTAAGATCTGCTCTATGGGGGACAGAGCCTTCTCTTCTGCTGCCCCACGTCTATGGAGGGCTCTTCCTGATAATCTGAGGGCCCCACAGACAGTGGACTCCTTTAAAAATGACCTGAAAAAGAGCCTTTCCTTAAAAAACATTCCCTAAAACCACTTTTAGATCTCAGCGTGATTTTACCTTTTTTTTTTTTTTTAAAGATTTATTTTGGGCTTTTCGTGCCTTTAATTCAGAGGGAGGACAGTGGATAGAGTCGGAAACCAGGGAGAGAGAGCGGGGAATGACATGTGGAAAGGGGCCACGGGTGGAGGCGGGCCCGGGCCTACCGCTCGAGGGTCTCAATACATGGGACGCACGCCCTAACCATTGCGCCACCAGCGCGCCCCGATTTTACCTATCTGACTATTGTTTTCATGGTTTTATTCTAATTGTAGCACTTTGAGATTTTCGTTAAAATGTAAAGTGCATTGTAAATAAAATATATTATTATTATTATAGTATTATTGACAGTGAACAAAAATTAAAACGACCAATAGTCTGCATAAATATAAATTATGAAAACGATAAAACAGTAAACACATATAATTACCTATTATAAATATGTATTCGTTATGAATAATTAATTGTGGATGTGAACTGAACTGTTATGTTTACATATCAACGCAGCTGCTGCCCCCTGCTGGTCGCTACGCGTTCACACAGCGGTCTGTTTCTAACCGCTGCTCTCAGATCAGTTGGCATTTTGAGCAAGGTGTGGGCGGGGCAAGCTCCATTGACCAATGACAGCTGACCTGGAGCGTAACCAAGGAGACGGCGTACTGCTTGGAGACGGTGGGAGGACAGCAGCAACCAGGCTAACGGGCTAAATGGCTAACTGGCTCGTTAGCGCACCGTTGAATCATCATAGGCTGTTCAATTCGTAAAACGATGTTTTTATTCTAAACGTTTTGAGTCACGACATTACGTCTGACTCCATCTGTCACCGCGGCGTTGTCTTAGACGTAAGTTAACTTGCATGGCAGCAGTCGTGTCCCCGCTAACGAGGCTAGCTCTTCTCGGTGTGGGGATGTCGAGCTGGTCGTGATTAGCTAACGAGTGAAACTAACGCGCTTATCTAAATATTATCCCAACACACTGACTACCAAACAAGGGGATGTAGCCACCTAGCACGGATAGTGTGGGATAGCCGGGATGGATGTGAGTTAACAGCTGGACTGGGACGGTCTGGCCCGGGTTAGTGGTTCTCTAGAGCGGATCTGAGTGTCGAGCCGAGCCGAGCCGAGCCGATCCGAGCCGAGCCCTTCAAGTAGCAGCAGCAGCAGCAGCAGCAACATCAGCCTGGTCCCCCCGCGCCGGAGTACAGCAGGCAGAGCTCCACACCGCCGGTCAGGCCCGGTCTCCCGGGTGAGATGAGATGCAGCGGATCGGAGGGCCGATCAGCATCCCGAGTCCCGGTAACACCTGCTAACCAGGTGAGCCGATTCTCATACATTGTGTTTGTTCAGGGTACAGAAACATCCTATGCTGTAGCCCCCTTACTTAATTACTCTTTTGTTTAGGAAATATGCATAATAAACACATTTATATATTCAAACATTACGATTTATTACTCTCAGTTTGAATCTGGTTTTCTCTTAATCTCTCACTTCTCTGGGTTAAAAAGGAAACACTGAATCCATTTATGTGCAATGAAAATAGAAGGTATTTGTGTTTATTCTGTACATCTATGATGTGATTTGATCTTTTCCTTTGTTTATTTTATTACTCTTCATCCTTTTATCACGCACTCCTTCTTCTGCACTCCTGCTCTAACCTTCATTTATTGTCCTTTATTTACCTGTACTAATGTATCTTTTTCCACATCTGTTTTGACCTATATTTTGTTTAATTTATTTCCCGTGATGTCATCCTCTTTTAATCGTCATCCTCATTTTTTTCTGCTTTTATTCACTGCTTCATTTGTGTTGCTTTGACTTTACTGCCTTTTCAGACCTGCTGTTTCCACTTGAATTCTTCATTTGCATTTATTCTTGTTGATCTTTTGCTTTGACATTTTGTAATTGCTTTTCGTTTGTAATTTTGTAGACACTCTCTGTTGAGCTCCTGCCTTTGCTTTGTGTGTCAAAGCACTTTGTTAACATCCGTTTTCAAAGGTGACGTATAAATGAAGACATTATTATTGTCATCATCACATAGCTTATGGAACATTTAATGAAATTGTCAAAATACAGAGAGGTGGACGTAACCTTATTTTTCTATTCTACTAATTTGATAATTGTTGAATTGATGAATTTTTATTCCAGCGCAGATTCCCATTCAAATGTCTAGAGTCAGGTTTTCCGATAGCCCGATTGAGTTTCTCTCTGTTTTGTGTATTTTAGACCCGTAAGAAAAAGTCATCTCATACCCTCTGTGAATGGGACAGACAGTTGTTGTGAAACAGAGAAAAAGGCACATGATCTGAAGTTGCAGCTGATTAACACGAGTGTGTGTGTGTGTGTGTGTGTGTGTGTGTGTGTGTGTGTGTGTGTGTGTGTGTGTGTGTGTGTGTGTGTGTGTGTGTGTGTGTGTGTGTGTGTGTGTGTGTGTGTGTGTGTGTGTGTGTGTGTGTGTGTGTGTGTGTGTGTGTGTGTGTGTAACCCTCCTCAGCCTGTTGCTGGGTTACATCATTGTTTGTTGTGCTATAATATAAACAGATCTTGTGCCCCCTCTGACCTGAGTGCTTGCTGCTCTGTTGGTTAAATGCTCACAAAGCAGCTCTTTATGCAGCCTCTCCCTGCAGCTAATTTGCTGGTAATGAGATGAAGACCAATTAAACTTTGATGTTGAATCTGTGCGCAGGATGGATGTGTGCAGTAAGAACCCAAACCGCACGGCGCCGGTTGGTGAGGACGACCCACATCAGGCCGATGTGCCTCTCTGCTCTCGGACAAACGGTTGGAGCTGGCCGCCACATCCTTTCCAGCTGCTGGCCTGGCTGCTCTACAGCTATTTTGCCGTCACAGGCTTCGGCGTGTTTGTCCCCCTGCTGCCTTCACACTGGATCCCTGCGGGCTACATCGTATCCTTACAGTGAATGCACTCAGTCACTTTGTCAGGAAACATTTGAGAGACAAAAAAGGCTAAACATTTTGAGAAAAAGGTCAAAACATCACAATATTTTAAGACTTCAATCAACCTCAATGTGTCAAATGAGTAACCATGATGACCTGAAGTTTCACCAGTCGGCTTTGGACTGACAGGAAAGACCAAAACATTCATATTTATTCCAATTAATCAAATATAAGCCAATAGCAAGTTGCCGCTGTAAGGAATACCTTCGCAAATCACAACTTTTATTTCTCAATGAAACCTTTTTTCTTTTACAGCAAAATTATATAATTTTTTCATCAATGCAAATTTTTCCTCCAAATATGACGACTTTAAAGGAAGAATGTGCAACCTTTAGATCCAGTAGATGTCACCTTTGAGCACCATCATGAAACCAAAACAAACTTCTGTTTGGCCACACCTCTGCTATTATGAATCCTCCGCTCTCCTCCAGAAACACACCTCCAACCCCCCTACACTCGAGTTCACATGAAGGAGTTATGAATTACATGTAAACACGGCTCTGACAACAACACAGCCAGTGGGACTCAAGCTTCTCACTCATTATAGACAGTCAAGACTCAGAGAGACATTTACACAGGATAGACTGGATTTCTGATATATTTATGTGTAAATTATCACACATTCTTCCCTTAAAGTTTTTAGGGTTGCCTCCTTAAAATCCTTAATTCTAATCTTAAACTGATTCAAATTTGTTGTTCTCTTTTTTTAAATTAAACTTTGTAAACAGTGCCATAAAGGAGCCCCAACATGGCAGGATGTAGATTAGACTCATACCTCAGTTTCAGCCTTGAGACAAAGCCCCCCCCCCTTCTCTCCAAAACAAACAGACCAGGTGATTAAAAAGGTAAAAACTCCCTTTAGAGACATTAGATGTTAAAGTCGGTGCCTCCCTGATGCTCTTCAGTGGGAATTCAGCTGCTTGTGAATGTCACCTCTGTGGGTAATTAAGATCCTTCAAAGAGTCTAATGATGAAGTTAGAAGTAATGACAAAGGGACTTGGAAAAAGTTGTCAGATTGAAATGTTTCAGTGCCAGTCTAACAGACAGTCTGTGCTTCAGGAGAACTCTGCTCAACACAAGTCTGAAGCTGAGACTTGAGACTCAGGCAGACTGGTTTGATTAGTTAGCCTTAGCCCTTAGCCTTCATACTCAACATCTGAATTATGTCAGAATAACCTGACAGAACTCTGAGTCTGGACCTACCCTAAAAGGTTCCCTTGGGAGGTTGAGACCTCTGTGGAGTGAGTCCCAGTTTCATTAGTCATGCTTGAGGTTGTGATAAAATTAAACTGTCACCAGGTGTATCAGGATGATGTGACACACTTAAATGTGTCTGTTTACCAGAATGTGTTTGTAAGAAGTCTGTGAGCTGGTATACAAACAAGGATGGAATTAAAATATTTAAAAACATTTATAAATAATGAATGAGGAGGCCAGACGTAGAGCCTGATATTTAGATAGCTGAAGCCAAAGCTGATATTACAGTTCAAAACATCAGTATCAAAAAAACACGTTTTTGATGAACATGTGATCTTGTTGGTGATTCAATGATGATCTACGTTATGTGAGTCCTGACCTGTGATCAGTGTACGGGCATCATGTTCGTCTCTCACCTGTGTGTCCACATCATGGCCGTGTCCATCGACCCGGCCGACTACAACGTCAGAACAAAGAGCGACAAAGGTCCGGTGCCCGTGTTCGACCGCTCGAAGCACGCTCACGTCATCGAGAACTGCCACTGCTACCTCTGCCAGGTGGACGTGTGAGTATCAAACTTAGTTTTTCTTTCATTCTACAAATCTGCTGCATCACATCAGAGACGTTTGCTCTAAATTCAGTCTGACAGATCGAGGTTAAAAAATAAATAAAAATCCTCAGATCCCCTCAGAGCTGACTGAGTACGGTGTTTTGTTTCTATGCCTGTGATCCGTGCACATGCTCAGTTACTCACGCAGAATAATCTGATTTGGAGACATGCACGAACCAACCGGGCAGAGGATATTAATAATGAAGTATTCCATAAAAATTTAGTTTATTATATTTGTTATTCACCATGAAGCAACAGTCATGTTACATGAGCGTAAAGAGCTGATGAAGTTTATCTTTCTATGTAAAATTACAATGGGTATTTCATATATGTTGTGACTCTGGCATCCTAACATTTAAGTGTCTAAATCAGCCTAATCTGAAAGTCAAATCATGACTTTTCAATGTACGCTGCCCAAAGAGTTCCCCCGAGTCATTTGTGTTTATCCTCTGGAGAACATCAATATCTGCTGAAAATCTCAGGACTGTTTGAGATCCTGCAGTCTGGATGAAAGTGTTGTTTCATGTCGAGCTAACATGGTTAAGAAGTGAAGAGGTATTTTACCTGAGCAGGTGTTAACAGTGGATGTCATGAGTGTCTCTACAGGCTGCAGCTCGTCACCGTGGAGACAGTATCATGATCATCATTAGTAACAGGTTAATCCCCATCTCCAGTCCCCGGGCGTTCTCACCTCATCTCCATTAGGATGGTTGTTTTGTCAATGGAAAAAAACAATCTGATCAGAACTAAAAGGTTTTTCCAACAGTTTTTAAAAGCAGAGCATACGTCAGATATACCCACCAGCCTCTGATTCATAATTTGGATTTGTGGGGGGTGTTTTTGTGTGTCTTTCAGTGATTCTACATCCTGGTGAAAACATCCAAAGACATGTCGACAAACTGTTGGTAGATTTTCTGCAGATGCTTCCTCTCTGACAGTCACATCCAAAAACAAACACATCAATATGCTGTAATGACCATGGAAACTGAACAGAGTTTGTCAAACAGGGGACTCCCTCTGCCCCCCAAAAAAGTATTCTCTGAATCAGTTGTAAGGTGTACACTACATGCCAGCATTAAATTGGTATGACACCACAGAAAAACATCGGCTACTGACATCGGATCATTCCACATTATTTGTCGATGTGAGGATGTCTGTCAACAGGACTGATAGCGACAGATATCGATGTTAAACCGATGCATCTGTGTGTCCTAAAAAATTGACAATGAAGCCGAGAACGCTTCAGGGCATGGGTACCTTGAGATGGAAAAGTCACTAGATATCATAAAACTGTCTTGTTTAGAGAAGGTTATTTTATGAGGCAATCTGAGTCTCCAGCTGCTCACTGTTTCGGTAAGTGAATTAGATTTAAAGCATCTCAATAGAGCCAAATGAATGAAAGATGCATCTGGCTATCCTAGCCATAGTTATCTGATGCACTAAGTGTAATAACCTCTTGCTTCTCTCCAGCCTATCCATCTTGTCAAAATATAGTCACTTCCAAGATGCCAAACCTGAGCCTTCACCATGGTAGTCAAGAATGGATGGGTGATGTGATGGTGTTGTTATTTGCAGCACTGAGGCTTACCATCTTGGGCACGCGAACATGTTAACTTATGCAGACAAAAATATTTGAGTTTTTTCCTGTTCTTAACGTGCTGCAGACACAGTGTGTGAATGCAACTTAAAAAGTAAAGGAAGTTCATTATTTAGAAGGGGGACCAGGATTGTCTCACACTTCAAAAGACAAAACACTAACATCAAAAACACTTCATCTCTGGTGACTGTAACTCATTCAAATCTATAAACACAGAAGTGAAACACACAGATGAAAGTTTAAGTTTGATTGACTTTATAGAGATTTGACTTCTATATTCTACAGATAGTATCACCCCTGTGCTACAGAGAAGGGGGGGGTGCATCTTTTATTGTTAACTGCCATTAAAAGTGTTCTTCTGTGCACTCCTGCTTCTCAGTGGTCTTAATGTTTAATGCAGCACAGTTCTTCATCGTGCTGTAAATAATGAAAGTGCTCACTGGGGGCCAGGAGGTCTGATGTGCACTAAAAGCTTCAGAAAAACCAGGTCAGTGTGCCTGTTTCTCCCAGGAGGTTCAGGAGAACTGGGTCACAGAGAGGAGCTGTTACACACCAGACTGACACTCGTGAACCTGTCGCCTGCTCTCCACCTGAGTCCTGTTCCTCTGTGCTGTGGAGGAGTTCATTAAAAGATAGAAACAAAAGCTCCTCAGTTTTAAAGAAATCAGGAGTCAGATTCTCAAAACATCTTCAGGCTAGAAGAAACACCTGACAGTCTAAGTCGAGGGGCAACTCCTGAAAATCATGCTCTGGTCTCCAAGTGGTTCACAGAGTGTTAGAAGTTTGTAAGTATCAGGTCTGAATGTGTTATAATAACTATATTGGACCCTGTTTGAGCTTCACACGTCTCAGTTTTATAAAAAAGTTACATTTTCAATTAATTAACGTCAATAAAAGTCACAAGTTTTAAGTTTGATCATGCTTATAAACCCCTCTATTTCAGCCCTGCTCAGAACAGGCTGTGTCTGTACCTTTAAATATGTAAATGAGTGGTGTCTGACCACGCCCCCTCTCTGGAAGGGCTCGGGTGTGCTCGGGCTTTCTCGCTCCATGTCTTATTGTTTACGGTGAGAAGTCAGACTCAGAGGGCAGAACAAACACCTATCTGTGGGAGTGTCACCCACCTGGGGGAGGGGTTACTGCCCTTTGTGATGTCATGAAGGGAAAATCTCTGAACGGCCTGTTTGAGCACACATTTTCTGAAAAGTAGAGCAGGCAAAAGACGGAGAGGATGGACTTTTCTCATCATTGGGGTTTGTAGACGGGCTAGGGTCACATATTAGTGTTAGAGAAACATGGGGAAGTGTATTTTGCATAATATGTCCCCCTTATGTTTGTGTTTCCTGTGTTATTTCAGGGGTCCTAAGTCAAAGCACTGCAGTGCCTGTAATAAGTGTGTTGCCAACTTCGACCATCACTGTCGGTGGCTCAACAACTGTGTGGGGAGCAGAAACTACAAGTGAGTCGGCATATCATCTTCTACTGTTCTGACGTCGTCATGCTGAATCTGGGAGACTCGTGTAGAAGACATAGTAACAACAATTAGTGTGTAACTGCCTCTCATTTCTGTGGATCTCTTAAATTTAACCCCCAAGTTGATGTGATTTTTGGGTGCTAAAATTATCGCTCTGGGTCTTCAATTGACTCTCATTGTAAGTTACACATATGCATTTGCTCGTCTTCAATACAAGAGATATGAGCTTGAGAGGTTGGAGAAAATGCGCTCAAGAACACATTACACATCACCACCCTAAAGTAGGCACCAGAGGAACACATCCCATGAACTGAGACATAAAGAGCGAGTCATGCAGTGTCACTGGATCAGAGCATTGATTGTTTATTAAGATGCATCAGAGCAGCAGATCAGACTAGCATAAGTCAGCATATTTTTTTTATCTTAACAGAGTTTAGGAAACATATGCCTGTAAGCACGAATGCATATGGCTTTGTTTGTTGAGTATGTTAAGTAAATAGTTGCGATGCTAATTCTGTTAGCCAGCAGATGTTATTTTCCAGTATGTACTAGCATCAAGCTAATGAACTATACATCCTGGTCCTCCAGCTGCCACTGGTTGTGTGTATATTCAGTAGTTTGATGTGTGTACTCAGTAGTTTGTGTGTGTGTGTGTACTCAGTAGCTGTGTGTGTGTCCTGCAGGTTGTTCCTCCATAGTGTGATCTCAGCTCTGTTGGGGGTTGTGCTGGTTCTGATTGTTGCCTCCTACGTCTTAATTGAGTTCTTTGTGGACCCATCCAAACTCCGAACCGACAAACACTTTCTTGGTAAGATGTGATCTCTAGTCTAAGACAGACTTTACAACAGTGAAGGATCGCAGTGCAAAGTTGAGATTCTGAAGGCAGATTTGAATATAAATACAGAACAAAACACGGTGTGGTCTGTATAACTGTTGATGTATGTGTGTCTCCCTGCAGTGAGGAATGAGACAGGTGTGTGGTACGTGTTCCTGCCGGTGGCTCCGATCAGGTCAACGGCAGGAGCCATTCCCGGGCTGGCTGCTGTCACCATCACTCTGGGTCTGCTGTCGTTTATGCTGCTCTCTCACCTGCTCTGCTTCCACATCTACCTGAGTAAGAGACAGCAAGCATACATGTGTGTCTGTCTGTCCCCACTGATAGTAACAGAAAGAGGCACCAGTAGATGGCAGCAGAGAGGCTGAAGGTAAAACCACTAATTGTGTGTGTGTGTGTGTGTGTGTGTGTTTGTGTGCGTGCAGTGTGGAACAGACTCAGCACCTATGAGTTCATTGTGCGTCAGCGTCACCGTCAGGACGGCAGAGACTCGAGGAAACCCAGAGCAGTGAAGGAGACAGCAGCTCCGACGGTAAACGTCATCAAGGTAACTGAGGCTCCACTGGCGGCCTTGTTGGCTCTTATTTAATGGGGTAGTGTTTGTTCTTTTCCCTGGCTGAAGATGTTCGAGTTTGAAGTTTGTAATTCATGTGTGAAGAGCAGCTCTTCTCCAGTACATCACTCTGCTGCCAGGGTGTGTGCAGACTAATCATCTGAGCCATACATCGCCATAGAAACATCCTCATATCATATTTATGTTGTAGACTACATGTGTAAGTCAATCTACTTTCCTACCAACCAGCAGCTCTGACGTACATTAAAAGATATGTTTCACACTTGATCAGGCGGTCCCTGCACGCCATCATGGGATGACTTTGCCCCTGAGGTCCCCCCCTTTCTCTGCAAAACTCTCCATTAGTGAACCTCCCCAATCTGATTCAGTGCCACCCATTTAATAAAAAAAAGGCTTTTAACATTATTCTGCTGCAAATACATTAGTTTACCTTCACACATCATAGATGTCCAATAGGAGGCAGATCATTCTGTCTTTTCTCTACGTTCAGACAACAATTTAAAAACAATAAACATATCAAATCAGCTCATTTTAATGGTGGAGCTCTCACTGTGTGTGATGTCAATGGAAGAAATTAAAGATGAGCTCTAAAACAGTACATACACATGTTGAATCTATATAGCTGTGTTTTGAGTGTGTGTGTCCCTCCTCCCCTCCTCAGGATGTGAACTACTCAGGGACTCTGGGTTACACCAACCCACAGCTGGACATGAGGGAACCTACCACTGTGGCTGTGCGGGGGGAGTCAGAGTAAGTCTCAAAGTCGCTCCTGTTCTGGTCGCGATGGCCTGATTCTGTTAAACACACCCCTAGAACTGAACGTAATCCAGTCCTCCGGATCACTCTCTGTGGTGGTCCAGGTTCAGCCCACGACCTGCTGTGATTGGCTGAGGCTGACCCACCGGCTCCCGTCATGTCTCAGTAAACAGCCGGCAACAGTCATTTCATAACACAATGAGGCTGGAGCGCAGTCGCCATGGACACCGTTTTCTTTGCAGAAAACAAAGTGTGCAAAATGAAATTCTTTGGCCCTGACTTCTAGGAGGCAAACAAAGTGTGTATTGTGTGTGTGTGCATGTGTGTGTGTGTTTGAAGTGTGGGTGGAGGGAGCTGTGTGTATTAGTCCAACAGAAGGGCTTCATAAATAACTTCACTAACCGTGGCTGTTTGCCCTGAAGCTGGACTCCTGCGAGTGACGGAGGAAACTTTATTTTTACTGCAGCTCTCACAGCCGCTAGGACGACAGGAGAATGGGGGGAGGCCAGTGTGGACAACACAAAGAAGTTCACAGCTTCTGAGTGTCATTTGTAAAGGGCCTGTGTAAACATTAAACATGCATCTCTTTTTTTTTAAGATTTATTTTTGGGCTTTTTGTGCCTTTAATGGAGAGATAGGACAGTGGATGGAGCTGGAAATCAGGGAGTGAGAGTGGGGAATGACATGCAGTGAAAGAGTCACAGATGAGATTCAATCCTGGGCCGCCCGCTTGGAGGACTTCAGCCTCCATACATGGAGCGGGCACACTAACCACTGCACCACCAGCACTACAACATGCATCTTTCTATTTGATACATTTCACCAGGGTTAGTTTTAAGCACGTTTTAATCTGCAGTCCCTTTGTAAGGCCCGATTCAAACATCACATGGTTATCAAACAGCACGGAATAAAGTCGAAGACAACATAAGTCACATGACACGGAGGGACAGAATTTTTTTGTCATGTTAAAAGAAGCGACATATAACTTTCATTGTTGGTCTATCTGTAGAGCTGTGTTTGCTGCTCATTTAGTTTATGTTTTATAATTGTATGAACTTGTAAAAGAATCTGAGCCAATCAGACGGCCTCATTCAGGGGTGGCTCTGTGTTCCTTAAGCTGTACAGGTGTGTTAACCTCAGTGTGTGTGTGTCTGTCTGTGTGTGTGTGTTTCAGATTCCTGGCTAACGGCAGAGTGAGGACCGTGTCCAGTCCTGTCATGGAGGAAGAATCTCTGCCCAACGTGTCAACAGAGCTGAAAGCAGCAGCACACACACACCGACGCACGCAGGTAAACAAAACACACATACACGCACACACACACACACATACACTCTCACAGTGTGGATTAGAGTTCAGTGGTTGATGGAGTCAAACATCAATGAGCTTATTCCTGTAAACTGCTGAAGAAATGAGGACATGAGGAGATGAGCTCATTAAAATCTTCAGACAGGATTTTCTAACAGTTGAGTCATCTCAAAGTTCATACAGCGACCCTCACCTTAACTGAGTTAGAGCCCACAGAAAACTTGAGCTTAAAGATCTTATCCGGGTCTTTTCTCAACAAAAGACCCGGCAAAGCATGAAATCTGACCATTATGTTGTGACTAAATCATCATCAAAATATTATTATGGTTTATACCCCTGTAGTATAAAGGTAGTAGTATAGAGGTAGTAACAGTTGCACTACAGGGGTGAGACGGGATTGGCCGAGCCATCAGTGGAGAACAGCTCTGTGTGTGTGTGTGTGTGTGTGTGTGTGTGTGTGTGTGTGTGTGTGTGTGTGTGTGTGTGTGTGTGTGTGTGTGTGTGTGTGTGTGTGTGTGTGTGTGTTTGGAGCTCCCGCTGTGTAATCACAAGCCGTTCTCTTTGCATGTCCATCTGTATGTAATCAACTTCCATTATCTGTAACGCAATGGGGAATTCACAGACTGGGACACCTGGTAGCTGTGGTCCATGAAGAGAAACTGATCCCACCTAACAGGTCATCAAACATCACTGCTCAGCCTCAGGTTTCGAACAGAGACAGTTCCTGAAAAAGGAGGGGGAAAACGAAATGTCAAAAATTGGTTTCCCAGTATGTTTGGAAAAACACATATGCATGTGGTTAACCCAATTAACTGATCGTCTTCTGGTTATGCAAGGCAAACAAAATGCCCTGTTTTTGTTTCTTGAGTCCAGCAGAAATTCAACAAATCTTCTGTGTGATGGAACAAAGTTTGAACAGTTTTTAATCGTGTTTATTTTTTTTTGTTTTCACAGAAAAAGAAGAAGAAAGTTCGTAAAGTTCCTGCAGAGGTGACCAGAGAGCGCTGCCCGAGTACAGCCCCGCCCCCTGGTATAAACACACACACACACACACACACACACACACACACACAATGTTGACCCTCATTGGCATAATGTCTACACATATTTCTTCTTCGAACATGCACTAAAACGACACAGCTGTTTCAGTAGCTCTTGTTTGCAGCAGTTTGTAGTGAACACTTGGTGAGATACTGTATTCCTCAATCAGCCACGAGTACAACAACACAGGAAACAAGTCTGAAGAAGATTACTCAAACATTATCTCAGTCACGTGAAACCACCATCATGGTGTTTTTTTTTTTGTTTTTTTTCTTAATAAGACAAAAAGACATTTCATTGAGGCCTCCTCTAAAGGTTGCAAAACACAAAACACCAGTTTCTACACGACTTTCTAGTTTTCTAATTCATTTAGTTTGGATTAGACTTTGACTCTCAAACTTAACCTTTAACAATCCATCTTAACCGTCAGAACTTGAAATGTTATCAACAAAGACGAGAATATTCTCCTCACTGTGTTTTGGTGTTTTGTCCTCCAGCAGAGCCCAGCAGCATGTCTGCTGTGTCCCTGGGTCAGCGACTTCCCTTCCCAGCGTTCCCTCTGAGGGCCACCTTGCCCCCCCTTGCCCTACCTGTGGGCCCCGTGCAGGCGGCCGCCCCTCCAGCTGAGTACCACTCGGACTCTGCAGAGTCTCTGGAGGAGATCCCGGTGGCCTTGGCCAAACTGGGCTCCTCGTCTTCTGCTGCTGCAGCCTCCGGAGGAGACGCCTCCACGTCTTTGCATAGAGCTGTCCCCTCCTTCCCGCTGCCCTCCCCCCAACCCAGGACTAAGAGGAAGACCACTTCCTCCCGCACAAATAAGAACATCGCAGAGCTGAGGTTTGAGATGGCCTCCACCCAGCCTCCGATGGTGTTTGTTAGCCGAGCTAGCGGAGACGTCTCTGGGCCTCGTGAGGAGGCCTTTAATCTCAGCAGGAAGCAGACCGGCTCCAGACCTGGGTCCAGGCCGGCTTCTCGGACCTCGCTGGCCTCCTGGATGGAGGTTTAACCTGAGCAGAGTCTGAACTGAAACTGTTCTCACTCTTTATCTTTTTACTATCACTGGCGCTCTGCAGCCTTGCACAACAATCTGTGTGTTTTTGTTTTGTATGTTTTGTATCTCTGATTATGTGATTATTTATTGATTACTAAGAAATCGCTTTTATGTTGAATGCCAAAGTTGAAACTTATTTGTGCACAATCTTTATAAATGAAGGAAAACTTTCATCTGAGTTTTGTTTGTGTGTGTGTGTGTGTGTGTGTGTGTGTGTGTGTGTGTGTGTGTGTGTGTGTGTGTGTGTGTGTGTGTGTGTGTGTGTGTGTGTGTGTGTGTGTGTGTGTGTGTGTGTGTGTGTGTGTGTGTGTGTGTGTGTGTGATGCCGTCCCACCCAGAGGTCCTCCATCTCTCTAAACTGTTTTCACTGTTTCCCAGTCAACGGCTCCTCTGCTGTGTACGCATGTCTCCATGGTAACCCAGCTCTGGAGGGACAAGATGATATCACATCCTGTCCAGCTTCTGTTCCACAGCTGCACATTACTGCTCCAGCTAATGCTAACGCTAACGCTAGCAACCAGCCAGTTACACACGTCGTGTTTAGAGTGATGTGATGTGCAGGCTGACATCTGTAGAACTACAGAAGGACACATACTGACTACAAAAACATCTGGCTTCACTAAGTTTACAGTCACTTTTATAATGTACCACTCCTTCTAACACATGTTTATTCAAATTCATGATTTTAAAATCTCTATAGAAGTCCTTTCACTGTTTTTCTGACATTATGGTAGGGATTGAACTTTTCATCCAATCACAGGCCTCCGTTCGCTCTGCTTTGTTTGTGTGATGCTCCTTTAAACTCCAGCGTTGAAGGAGTAGCACGACATCTCTCTCTGAGTTGGAAGCACAGAACGACACCACTCTCCGGTCTGTCCAAGCTAGCCTGGTTCATGGCCAGTAAATAGTCCGGGACGATCCCTAAAAGAGCGTCAAATCGATTTTTCTTCGGTGGATTTGTTGAACTTTTGAGGAAGCCAAGTTGGCTGTCTCGGGTGTCAGCTGTCCACATGTTCGGAAGTGAATTCAACTTTCACAGCTTCAAAATAGCCTCTGTCAGAGATATCAGAGTGGTCCTAGACTTCACTTATAAAGGATCATATCTGGTTATATTGATGCTTCTATTTGAGCTGAAAAAAACAAACGAGATTGCAGCAGAAAGATCGACAGTTATATATAATTATTTTAAAAAACCTGGAAGACTTTTTAACCTCTTCTGCAGGGCAGTTGTCAGACAGTGATACATCCTGACTTCTAAAAATAAGCAGGGTGAGAGATTTCTTTCTTTTAAGTCACTCCTCACTGTCACATGCACAGGACAAAGATCAGTGACGATAATAGAGGTGCTGCTCGGTCCACAGGGGGCGCTAAAATCCACACAAACCGAAAGCACTTCACCGAAGATTTGCATTTTAAAGGGTTAGCAGGACAAGTAAGTACACAACGTTTGAGTCTAGCTCCTCTAGCTCAGCTGGACGTCCTGAAACAGGCTGCAAAGTAATCCTTGGAAGCAACTGATCCATGCACGTCTACTCAAAGAGCTTGATTTGCTGTTGCAGGCTCAGATTGTTCTACGTCGATGTCTGACAACATTATTAAAAGGACAGTTGTAGATGAAAGACTGCAAAAACACATTTGGCGGCATTATCTCATTAGACTTCTAATAAGCCACATTCAACAGACATGTACAGATAAACATCTTAGCTTAAGATATAAAAGGTGAAAACGAGGCCTGATTTGTTTACGGGTGAAGCAAATGTACATTTATCTATGTCCCTACTTTTGTACGTGCACAATAGCTAAAGTCTGAAAAAAGTGTCTGTTTTCATGTACTGCTCCTCCTTGCTCCCTCTCCGCTCTGAGTCCGTCAGCTACACTCTGTTGAGCCCACACTGTTAGACCCCACGTGGGCCAAGTCTGCTCTGATTGGTCTGCCGATCCGCTATTCGTCGTTATTGGTCAGTTGCTCAGCACGCGTCTCGGAAATTTCAACATGAGCTGCAGGGCTTGCCACAACGAGCCAATGGGCTTAGATCAGTGATCTCACACTGACACATTTTTATTGAGGGGGGCTAGAACCGAGCGTTACATGCAGCTAATGCTACAGCTAACAGGAGGACGTAGGAGAAGCCGCGTTTCAGCAGACTTTGAATTTTTGCACATAGATGTGCTTAATCATGCACAGGACACATGGAAAACACACTAAAGAGCATATAAAACCAGAAAAAGCAGAATATGGGACCTTTAATTCACACGTTAAGTGTCTTGAAATTAGATGATTTACCAAATGTATTTAGGACATCTCATCCGAAGCCTACAGAGCACGCCATCTTACCCGAGAGTAATGGTAAATGGACTTGAGCTTGTATAGCTTGTATAGTGCAGTGTGTGTCACCCATTCACACACTGATGGCAGGCTGCAATGAGGTGAGCTGGGGATTGAACCCTTGACCTTCCGTGTTGAGAGACGGCCGGCTCTACCAACTGAACCACAGCCGCCCCAGTACAACTCACAATGAGTCAGATGTTTACAGTTTGTTATGAATCTCAAAGATGCATGGTAGACACTGAGCAGTACAGTCTCAAGCATTGATTTGGGTTTTTGTGCTGCATGAGCTACTACTGTTTAGTTTTTGTGTTCAGCTTGTGTGCGTTATATGATTCAAGTCTTGGCTCAAAGCTTACCATTCAAGAGCAAAACAAGGTCACACCGGGTCAACATGGAGGAGATCTGTGCTGCTGCATGTGGAGTCATACTCCGAACATTACATCACATTTATTAACAGAAACAGGTCAGGCTTTTTTAAACTATCGTATTGTGTGTGTGTGTGTGTGTGTGTGTGTGTGTGTGTGTGTGTGTGTGTGTAAATGTATGGGTGCGTGCCATTATTTATCTGGGATGTGAGGAGTAGTTACCTCGGCAACAGGTCACGACAACATCATAACAACGTCAATCAAAAAGCAACGTCTCTCTCTCTCACTCACATACACACGCACACGCACACACACACACACGCACACACACACATACTTCACACACACACGCTCTGGAGGGTGTTTCTATAAGGAAGGTGAGAGAGCTCTATTTCAGTGTCAGTGCTGATGTGTGCGGCTGTGGCTATTTCCTGGATACGGCACTAAACATGATGATGTTCTGGTGTTTTATAACCGACCCGCGGCTCACTGGTGCTTCTGACCGTCACGTGACCGTGTCTCCTCGGAGACGCGCACACCCTGAACAACATGATGTCATCCTGAAGTCCTCCCACACTGACAGCTGCTTCCTGTTTACAGAAGCGCTGACATGAGGTCACATCCTGCCCAGTCCTCTGAGAGAGGGTGAGTTTTGAAACAATCACTTATCCACAATCAATGATTCAGCTCGTGACCACTGACCTCAAATCTATGTGTTTATTAAATTAAAGCAAACAATTTATATGCCCCGAAATACAGCACATTTTATATTCCACATTCTTCTTGTGCTGTAACTTGACCTTTACGGGATAGCTCAAAAACAATAAAATCTATGCCCTAGGAAAGGAAAGGAGACCAGAGGAGAGGAAAGGAAAGGAACAAAAAGGAAAAGAGAGGAGAGCAGAGGAGAGGAAAGGAAAGGAACAAAAAGGAAAGGAAAGGAAAGGAAAGGAAAGGAGAACAAACCTATCCATTTTTATAAACCTTGTTTTACACAGAAAGAAAATGTCCTTGTGGAGCTATATCTCCTCTCTAATTCACCATGATCAAACCAGATATGAACACCAGTTCAGTCAAAATGACCTCCCAATCAAGTCAGTGAAATACTCTTAGTTCTAACATCAGACCATAAAAATCTATATAAAGGACGACCCTCTTTTTCTGAGGTTGTAAACACCTTTATAAATCTCCAGGACCTGCAGTGTTAAAAAATGAAGCTGGTGTGGAAGTGCAGTTCCCAGTGTGTCCACTAGAGGCTGGCTGCAGAAGCACCGTCGCATACACACCCATTCAAAAAAGCCACCATTAATAAATCTCCAGGACCCGCCTCCTGTCAAAATGCATGTCATATTTTCTTAAACCCAGTTTTTTGTTATGATTGTTAATTAACTACAATGCCATTTTCTGTTCAAGTCATCCTTATTTGAAGCTATAAAACGGTGTAATCATGCCGTGATTGACAGCTCTGTTGACGAATGCAGCTCCAGCGACGCAACGTGCGACAGAACCAGTGAGACAAAATGTGCCCAAGACAAGAGTCATGGAATTTACATAACTGAGTCTGCTTCAAACCGTCACAGCAATCTGTTCCATTCAAGCGGAAACCTCTGGTGTTGAAAACTGAAGCCGACCTGGAAGTGCAAAATCCTGCAGTTCATTGAATGTCCACTAGAGGCTGACTGCAGAAGCACAGAAGGACACATACACACCCATTCAAAAAAGGCTCTTTTTTACAGCAGAGATGAACATGTTTACAGCCTGGTTCAAAAAACCAAATAGGTGTGATTAGCTCATGTCTCGATCGACACACACTGTACGGGGGGTGAATGTTTTGATGACTCATCAGTTTTGATTTGACGAAGGATAAGAGTTATTCACAATAAGGCGTGTAGCTGACCTGATTGACAGGTGGTCGCGATGTAACGGTTTGTCAAGAGCAGGGTCCGGAATTGTTTATCAGGCGGCTTAAAACCCGCCTCAGCGCCAGCTCTTGGTCTGTTGTTCGGCATACTGAAAGACAGGTTGAGACTTCCTCTCCAGCAAGGTCACCGCCATCCACGGGCTTCAAGCGCCCACTTCAGGAACCAATGGGTAGGGTTTAGTCACTGAGGCTTCGGCCATGACTAACAGGCATCCCAGACGCCCCTTACAGTCAATGAATCCAGTGAGTGTGGAGATTGGGATTGGGTTGCTGTCGTCTTCCCGTCTGCCTCGTCCAAACACAGAAGAGTACTTCCTGTCAGTCACACGTCCTCTCCCCTCAGACGTGGTTCAGTTAAAGCCGATCACATTGTTTTCTTTGTTTTTTTAAAGGATTTATTTTTGGGCTTTTTGTGCCTTTAATGGAGAGACAAGACAGTGGATAGAGTTGGAAATCAGGGGGAGAGCGAAAGGGGAATGACATGCTGGAAAGGAGCCACAGGTGGGATTTGAACCTGGGCCGCCCACTTGGAGGACCATAGCCTCCATACATGGGGCACGCAGACTAACCACTGCACCACTGCACCACCAGCTCCTCAGCCAATCACATTGTTCAACATGTTGTCACTGTTTTTGTCTCCGTTGTCCTGGAGACCATCCCGAATTGCAAAAAGATCCCGTCAGACCGGGTCAGCGGGTGAAAATGTGACAAGGCGATAAGTCTCGTTGAGTTCAGTCACTTTGTTGTTTGACCTTATCCTTAAGTCTTTGTTTAACTTTGTATTGCATGTATTATCCATTTCTCTCAGTACTTTTGTTATGACTCTTTGTGTTCAGTGTACGTCTCTGTGATTGGTTCATGTCTCTGTTTGTTTGGTGAACATCTCTTTGAGGTCATATGAAGGCTCTTTGGGGAAATCCCTTTCTCTTGTCGTGATTTCCTGTCTGATTTGTCTCGTTGTTGCTCAAAAGAGCAGGTACAAAGACCTTACTCTTCGCTATATAACAAGATTTAAGGTTCAAGGTTCAAAGTCTCTTTATTAGTACCGAAAGGTAAATTTGATTTAGATTCAACTTCTGTCCTTTGACCTCCTGTTCAGGTGATCGACAGGAGTCTGCATACACCCACAGTTCTCTGGTCTCCTCTCCTCTCCTTTCTTTTCCTTTCCTTTCCTTTCCTTTCCTCTCCTCTCCTCTCCTCTCCTCTCCTCTCCTCTCCTCTCCTCTCCTCTGCTCTCCTCTCCTCTGCTCCCTGTTCTTTTTTTTTTTTTTACCGCCCTCCCCTGTTGTGGGACAGGACGTGGTCATGGCGACAGGATAAACAGATGATAACAAGCCCTCAGCGCTGCAGAGCTCATTTGAATGCTGTGACCGCTGCTGAGGGCCAGAAGAGGGAGAGGAGAGACGGAGGTGAAGCAGACTGAGGAGTACAGAGGACGCACAGGTAAGACTGCAGGACTCTTTGCGACTGAGTGTTTTGAGAATATTAGATTTTTGTAGAAAGTAGAGCAATGCAATAACTATCCATGCTGCATTGTAATTGGTCCCTGAAATCTGTAAAATCAAAATGTAAGTGTTTTCATTTTTTCTGCAGTTGAGTCAAACTTCTGTAACACTCAAACATTTAGTCATTATGTGATTCTGTGTAAATGCTTGCAGGTAGAAAAAAGGAGGAGAACCAGGCGATTACACATTTGTGTTTAAGCGTTATCAAGACTTTAAAACACTGTGAGTACTTTTTAAAAAGGCTGCAGCACATGTGTAATTATGACCAGGTACAAACACACAACATGCACACTTTACATGAGATTTAACATCAAATACTGTGAAAGGAAACCAACAAAGTATTTTCTAGCGGTCATGCAGTAAAATAAGTTTACTCATCTATACTTTTGTTAATGTTTGTTTCGTCTTCAAAATCCTCAGAGGTAGACAGGAGTTCATCTTTATGTTTGTGAGTCATATCTCTACATCTTTATCTTTATCTATACTTTATCTGCATCGAAGACATCTCTTTATCTGCATCGTGTATCTATATTTATACATCTATATCTGTATCTGTGTCTGTGAGAATCATGATCTTAACTGTTGACCAGACTGAACGGTTCCGCTCTAAACTGTTCATTGCACATTCTTCCACAAGTTAAAGTCCACAAGAGTGGACGGCCCGGGTTCAAATCCGACCTGTGGCTCCTTTTCCTGCACGTCGTTCCTCACATTCTATCTCTCTCTCTCCAGTCTCTGACTCTATCTACAGTCCTGTCTTTAAATTAAAGGCCTGAGAAGCCCCAAAATAAAACTGTTGTACCCAATAATCTAAAATAGAATACAGAACGGGATTACTGTGAGGCATTATCTACTCTGAAGAAAGAAAAGAAGCAAAACTACAGATAAACACAAAAGAAAAAGATTCACTTTGAAAACAGAACATGAGAGAGAGCGATGTCCGCACATTCTTATGACTACATATTACAGCCAGACCGATTTATCAGCCAGACGATAATATCGACCGATATCAGCAAATCCAGTGACTATCGGTATTGACTAATTTTATCACAGCTATTGCGCCAATATTTCTAGATTTATTAACAAGTCAAATATAATTTTATGAGTTTCATAGTATTACACTAGTAATTCTCTTTCACCAGCAGAGGGTGCTATATGGATTACAATAAGCATCACTGCAGTGTCGAGTGGTGATGCAGCTACATGTGCTGTTACTTTCCAGTTGACCATCTTGTGTTCATTAAATATCCTGTTTGATAACTGCATTTGAGGGATCAACACAATGGATATTGTGATATTGATATGGATAAGAAAGATATCGGCCGATATATCGGTATTAGATTTTTTTCTCTTCCCAATATCGATCTCGGTATCGGCCCCAAATAATCCATATTGGTCGCGCCCTACTACATAGCTGAAAGCTTACTATCAAACTATTCCTCCAATCTGCCTCTGAAGTCGCTTTCTGTGATTTTTAGAGCACTGTTGTAAAGCTGCAGCTTTCCACTTTCAAAGACAGAGTTAGCAAGTCAACCTTTAGGGAAAAGAGACTTGTGAATGTGACTTATGAAAGCAGCAAACTATGATTGGATTGAATCTCGTACACGTTTCAGGTGTAGTCGGTTTGTGTTTCTTGTTTCATGCAGAAGTGTTGTAAAGAATATCCCACTGCTGGTGAGACGTGAATTATTGAAGGCTGCACACACAGATAGTTATGTAAGGGTGTGTGGAGATGTGTGGGAGCATCTGGACACACACACACACACACACACACACACACACACACACACACACACACACACACACACACACACACACACACTGACACACCCATACAGCACAAAGAGCATGATACACTCGTACATTTAAGTCCAAAGCAAAGTCCTGTAGACTTTAAAAACACCTACTCATGTTTTTTCTTTAAAGTTGCTGACTATGTTGATATTATTTGCAGATAAATGAGGAAATGAAGTGAAGCCTTAATAACTCTTTTCATCGCTGTTTAAATAAACCCACAACAAACCACAGTGAATACGGAGTGGCAGCAAGTGGCACGGACTATCCTGAATCATTTCATTAGATTCTACAGAGCGGTGAACTCAGGTGTACGTGCTTGTTGTTTATGGGGCGGGGGGTGTGGCTACTGAAGTCCAAAAACTCTTCTACCTGTGTTGGAGATCAAGATATTCTATTCATTGATTTATCAGGAACACATCCAATGAGCATCGCTTTGAATGTAAAATACAAAGTAGACTTTGAGGAGTGAGTAGTCAGGGTGAGGCAGGGCATGGCCGTCCATTTTTTATTAGATTACCACAATACTCAAAGAAAAACAAGTTTCAACAAAAAGCTACCTGAGCTGCTGATCAATTCAGAAAATCCTTGTGTACTTAGAAGAAAGGGGAAGCAGGGGATTATTAAGATACACCCACAGCCCACAGTGCAGAATAATAGTGCCACAATTCTTCACTCATATGTGGTCTTATGAAAAGAAACTTGAGATGATAATGAAATGTGGAAGGAGAGAAGGAGAGGACTGTGTCTCAGTTGGTAGAGTCGATCGTCTCTCGGCCTGAAGGTCAGGGGTTCGATCCCCAGCTCCTGCAGCCACATGTCCGATGTGTTCTTAGGCAAGACACTTAACCCCAAGTTGTCTGTGGAAACGCCATTTTGTGCTTCAAACATCGTTCGTGAAGTCTCCCGGTCTGGCCGAGTCGTCTAGAGTGTAATCAGTAATCAGCTGACATGGCGTCTAACAAGGCGTCCAGGCCGGCGTGCCAGCTATAAAATTGAGCCCAGCATTTCAGCCATTACAGCCTGTTTCACGGCTCAGGCTGGAGAGGACTCATTTGGACTCTCAATTTCCTTACTTCAGTTTAATTTTAGACGCTCGTGTTAAAATGCTGAGTCACAGTCAGCGGCTTCATAAATTAGTCGTTTTAAGGCAGAACAGGGAAGACACACTTCACATAATGGGGATGAGTGAGAAACTTTGTCTTCACAGAAACAGTTTGTACGTCCTGTATCTGACTATGTGAAGCTTCATAGAAGTAGAGATACGTCTGGTTTTACTCCACGCTTTAGTTATCTTTCAAAGTATGTCAAAGAGTCAGTCGGCTTTGAAAACAAGCTGCAGTTTAACGTTCAAACTCTGCAGACCTTAAATGTTTCAGTTTACAGATGAAACTCACTGAACTGCAAACTGTTAACGTCTCGACTGTCCGGAATCTGACACCTTCACACCTCTGTTAACACACGCACATACTCACGCACAGCGCTCCTCTTTTACTACACACGCTCCCTCTCTCCCTCTTTTCTCTCTGATCGTAACATAACTAACTTAAGTCTCGCCCACCACGCCTTAGACCATCTCTGATTGGTCGGGCTTCTTGGCAGAGACACCTGATAGTCACAGACACGTCACATGTTTTTTAGCAGCAGCGGGGCGGCTTATAAATCTTACAGGGGCGCAGAGACTTGGTTACTGTGACAACCACTGTTAGGGATTGCATCAATGTGTGTGTAATCACACAAGAGTGAGAACCAGAGTGAGGTCATGTCCCACACCCCGAGACACACACACACACACACACACACACACACACACACACACACACACACACACACACACACACACACACACACACACACACACACACACACACACACACACTCTACAGGAGCTGCTGCTGCCTGCTCCTGTGGTGCAAGTCTCTTTTTGTTCAGTCGTCCTATTTTGTCCACTTCTTAAGTGTTTTTGAACATATATTTGGGTAACCCGAGTGTCTACTGACCCAGAAAATATGAAATAAACCCATCCAGTCCATCCAGTGCATTTAAAGAGACACACACACCAAAACGGAGCGTTCTGAGAGAGCTGGTTTATCCAGGGTCACAAACCTCCTCTGGTGCTTGATTCATGTTATATTTTGACCAAAGCACAGCACAGATGTTTCATTTAGACCACAGGGGGACTGTTTGAGAAGGTGGAGAAGGGGGACAATATGTCCTTCTGCGAACGCTAAGGTTTGAAACTCTCAGAGCCCAATCCAAACAATCCAACAAAAGGTCTGAAGTGCATGGGGCACACACATTTAGGGCGTGTCCATCCATCTCTAAGTTAAAGGTGTAGTCATTAGCATTGTTCGTTGCAGCTTGTTAACACAACATTCAAACTGGGCACCTCCTCCTGGGATCAGTGCCACTAATAGCGCATGTCCACTGCGGGGTTAGGGTGTATTTTGACTGCTTGGACCTACCCTGCACGCTACCTGAGAATGTTAGATTAGTTGTAATGGAAAGCCAATGTCCATTTGTTATATATTATTATATAGAAAAGATTGCCTGACTTTTGAGGAACATTTCTTTTGAAGAGTTCTTCAGTTTGTTTTGTGTTGCATTTTATGAAATTAGGCGATTTAGTCGATGTCATTCGTTTTGTGATATTTCTTTGTTGTCTCACTCCTGCAGATATTTTCCCATCATGGCGGAGAGCGCAGACATGGAGCAGCTCCTGGTGTCTTTCAAGAAGTTCGCCATCCATGGAGACACAAAGGCCACGGGGAAGGAGCTGAACGGGAAGAACTGGGCCAAACTGTGCAAAGACTGCAAGATCATCGACGGCAAAGGTGTCACCAGCACCGACGTGGACATCGTCTTCTCCAAAGTCAAGTGAGCATTAGAGCGACCGCTGAGGAGCTACTGATAACACACAGGCAGCTCACTTTCAGATGTTTGTTTGTAACTATTAAAATGCTTTTCTGATGTTCATACTGTTTTGAGTCCTTGAAGAATTATGCTAATTAGATGTCAATTCTCTGTTTGTGGTAAAGACAGAAGACGTCTCGCGTCATCACCTACGAGGAGTTTAGAAGAGCTCTGGAGGATTTGGCTCCGAAGAGATTTAAAGGTCAAAGTAAAGAGGAGGCGGTGGAGTCCATCTTCAAACTGGTTGAAGGAAAAGAGCCCAACAACGTTGGAGTGACGGTAAGACGAGAAGTTTTGATCTGTGATCTGTGTGTTTTAAACCAGAGTTTTGTGCACATGTCGATGAGCATAATGTTACTGTCACTGTGTGAGCCAAGTGTCATTAGATACACCTGAACACATTGTATAACCAAAACAAGTCAGGATGTGTAAACCTGATAGAGTTCTGTTGCAGTTGGGTTGTCAACCAAAACAAACATGTTGTCAGTAGATGTGTCACTATAGCGATCTGACACTGTGGTATAATCTGGTTTAGATCTATGATAGACATCTGAAGCCATGTTTGTCTTGGAATTAAGTCGCAGCAATATGTGTTTATTATTCAGTCATACTGATATCCTAAGCCAGATTTTGGACAACAAAATACTTTCAAAATAGCGTGCAACTGTAACTTACTGAAAAAAAAAAGACGACCAGATGTTTGAAAGCTGAAACAAGACGACTGATCAGCAACAAGTAGCTGGAAGCAGCAGTAAATATATCAACACACAGAACCTGGAGAAAGCAGTGAAGGAAACATAGTTAGAGGGCCTTCATTTTTCAAATGATTTTTTTTAACCGTCAGCGCTGTACACTATGCTGCCGTTTGCTACCACTCTAGTCAATGATTGTGTTTCCAGAACAAACAACGTGGTCCATCTCTGGAGCGTGCCAGCAGCCCCACTACACTCTGCTCTGTTTCAAATACGCTGCGAGTCTATTTTGGATGGAGTACGCTGCAAGCACGCTTCAAACTGGAGAGAATAGAACAACCCGGAGAGGAAGCCAGACAAAGAAAGGCACAGAGCGTCCTGTCAATTTAAAAATAAAACACAATATATGGACTCACAATTAAATTTTCAATCACTTTATCAACATGACATCTACACAGGCGCTGAATGAACAACAAATCATCCTCAGAAAGACAAAGAAACATGTTGTTTGCAGGTTTTTCTCTTGATTCTCGCGTGATCTTGTAGTTCTCCTGGGATGTTTGTACAGCTGCTCAAGGCTGCACTCAGCTCGGTCAAGTTCCAGAAACAGATTCAGTGGTGCAAGGCGTGTGCTGTCCGACGAAGCACAATCGTGGTGCTGACGTAGGATGTTGAAATTGGTGGCCAGGTTTGTGGCGAACCGAAGTCAATAAACACAAATGATCAGATGGCTCAATGATCTGAACTCAGATCTGAAAACAGCTTCATGCTGCTTTTACGTGTTTGAAAGTGTTTATCTTTTCCAAACATTTAGATTGGGATTTAATCAGCAATGCACATGTTTATCATCAGAGTCTTAAGGTGTGTTCAGACAAACAGTGAATTTATTATGTCGTGCGGCAGGATTATACAGAAAGTAAAATGCAGGACGCATATTTACTGCAGGGGGTGCAAATTTGTGACATGCAACCTGAAGATGCAACATCTGCAGAGTATATAGAAAAATATATCAATTAACTGAGAAATTAAATAGGTGTGCCCCAGGGATCTATTTTGGGGCCTCTGATGTTGAGCTGAACAATTTACCATCTGGCTGCCTGGATGGGTTGTAAGGTCAACATGTTTGCAGACGATACTGTAATTTATGTCTCTACAAAAATGGTCCTCTGCCGCCCTCTTGAATTTCACAGTAAAAGCAAGCAAGCCTGTTTATCCCATTCAACACACACAAATAAAAACAGACTTTGAATCCACCAAACAAACTGCAGTGGTGATTAGGGATCAGTAAATGTGGTCTGCTCATCTTCTAAATTGATTGGATGCTTCCGGTTTAGATTTGCTGTCTATGAATGGGTGGAATCAATTTTCAGAAGTCTGGTGGGGCATATTTAAGTTCAGAAACAAAACAAATGTTTACCCTTTTGGTTGTTTTTCCCCTTTAAACTTAAACTTAGGGACCTATTTTTAGATTGAAGTTTGATCTGAGACAACAGTGGGTCTCTGTGTGAATAGCATCAGCAGCTTCATTAAAACATGATCCCACATAATGGACGATCTCTGATTTATCTTTGAAATTCGACAGCTCAGTGTTACATCAGCTCCGTTTCATCTCTCAGCTGCAGAAAACAAGTCCAGAGCTGCAACATCGAAACACTGAGAGGGCTTTGTAAATGTTTGGACACTCATCACAGAGGTTTATTATTCTAGTGATGAAGTCATCCGAAGTTTGTGCCAGGAGGTGAGGCAACTTAGATCATCATCTGATGATTAAACTGTCAAAGTCCGAGAAGATCAAGTAAACACCAATCTGACTGAAATATATACACTTCAAATGAAAATAATGAAGTACAGACAACAAGTTTAAGATCGTGAATGAGGGAGGGAAACTGTTTATTGTGAGTCCACGTGTAAGGTCATCCATCCTCTCTTTACCACTACATTCAGACAAGATGGTGCCAGATGGCCTGAAGTCGTCACCACAGCCCCAAAATTATGAAAGTGTGTTTAGACCAAAACCGAGCAAAGTTTGTGGGGATTACAAACAAATTACATGCAAAAATGTTTCCTGAAAGCCATCAGCGTTGAGATTCTCCTGACTTCTGCACGTTGGCATCAGCAATAATAATCCAACAGCACTACATACAAACATAAGGATTTATAAAAGTTGTTTCTCATTTTGCAGATGAGCCTGAGAAAGCACTTGATATAGACATTAGTGTTGTAGTCTAGTCCACCCTAACAGAGACCAAGACATACCCAAGACCAGATTGCTCTGAGACCGAGACAAGACTTTAAGGGATTGAGACTGACACAAGACCAATTTAGGGATCAAGACCAAGATAAGACCAAGACCAAGGCAGGTAAGACTGAGACAAGACCAAGACCAAGGCAGGCAACACCAGGACCATAAATATCACTGAAAAATCATCATCTTGTGTGCGGTGGTCATGTCACTCACTTAGACCGTAACACCGGGAAGGTTGTGGGCATAACCGGGGGATAAAAATCTAATTATGAATGATTTGAAGTTATTTGCTTTTTTTAGAATCTAAGAGATATTCATGAATTTGCATAAAAGGGGCGTGTCTGATTTGACTGACAGGTGGGCTTAATGAAGTGGTTTGCAAGGAGGATTAATGCGCGCCTCTTTACCTGATATTAGAATGATTGAAAGTTAAGGTTGGGACAGTGTTTCCGATATGGTGACCGCCATCAACTCATTAATCAGTGGTTGAGGTCACTGAGACTTCAGGGCAGAACATTTGATCTGAACTGTGTTTCTGTCCCGTGTTTCCATCAGAAAGTGGCAAAGAAGGGGGCTGTGGACCGTCTTACGGACGCGTCCAAATACACTGGATCACACAAGGAGCGCTTCGACGAGACCGGCAAGGGAAAAGGTCGCGAGGGGCGCGAGGAGCTGGTGGAGAACACGGGCTACGTGGGCTCATACAGGAACGCCGGGACGTACGATACAAAGGTGAAGGCTGATAAATAAGGAGGCAGGAAGAACAGCGACAGCACTTAGTCTGGACCAAACCTTGAACTTTGATCTCTCTGTGTATGAATATCTGTGTGTGTGTGTGTGTGTGTGTGTGTGTGTGTGTGTGAGTGTGTGTGGCTTGGGCAGACTGACGGACTTTACAGTCTGTAAACTCGTAAACACGTGGATGTGACAGACGTACTTCAGCTCCATCAGGAGTGTGTGTGTCTGTGGGGGAGGGGGGCTCATCCTCACATGAAATGCTCAGTTGATATTTTACATCCCTCCAAAATATATCTAGCTTTTCTGTGATTGTTGTGGCCTAAAATGCCGGATGCTTTTTCCAAAACTTGTTCTGCACATGGCAATGTCTCAAGACCTTTTTGAGCAACACATTAAATATAAATCAGTGTGGACAAACTCTCCTCTGAAGCATTCTGTTGACTGAATTACAGCTGCTTGTCTTCTGATGTCACTTCAGGTTAACTTTTGGGTCAGAAAGCCAAAATGAAATTAAAGGTATTTGTCATGAAATACATATATTTTTTGTAAACCACCGCAAAGCGACAGGTGTATAACTCTCTATGTACAACAAACTATTTGAGAACAGTTTGAGATGGAGGTTCAATTCCCCAATAACGATTCTCTGTTCAGTGCTTAGTCTCAAAAAATGTAAAGTGGGCGACCGGGGTTCAAATCAGACTGTGGCTCCCTTCCCGCATTTCTTCCCCCAAATTCTCTCCCTGATTTCAGACTCTACCCACTCTCCTGTCCGTCAAATAAAGGCATAAAAAGCCCCAAAAATAAAAAGAAGAGGCTGATTGGTCAAATTTGTGGACATGTTGCAGGGATTGGCCAATTGCAAGGTCGCTTAAAAGATGTAGAGATTGTTTTACTTTATGTGAAATTACCTTTTTGCACCATCACAACGTCCTGCAGAGACTGAAAGCCGATTTGCTTCAAAAGCGACTCAGTTTTGACCCCAGGAGTCAGTTTGAGCACATTTGCTATTGATTCACTTCCTGTGTATCGATGTCTCTCCTCCAGGGAGACTTTAAACGTCTCCCTTTTATAAGTCCCTGTCTGTTACAGAGCAGATCCTGTCGTGTCCTGAGGGTTAAAATGTCCTCCTCAACATTTAAAATCTCACTCCCCACCTCCTCCTATTACATCCACCCTGTCTGAACGGAGCTTTAATGTGTTTGTAAAGTTTAACATGTTGGTCTACTGAGGAACGTTATGACCATTTAATCTTTCATTATAGTGTAGTTTACTTTAAGCATCCTCTCAGCTCTCTGTTTCTGAGGTTTCCGATATTTAATCATCAGCAGAAGCTTTCAGATTCACGTTGAATGTGACTGAAACTAAATCTGCAGAATCCTGAAACCTGATGTCGTGTTGGGTTTGTTTTCATTGTTTTCTAATATATATTTTGCAGCCTTGTTCTTCTTCTGCAGTATCGTTATTTACAACATGTTATGTCTGAAACTCTCTCGGTGTGTGCAGTGGATGCAGGTGCAGAAACTGGATTTTACCTGAAGTGGACATTTCTTTATTGAACAAATAAAGACAAAAAAAAGTTTTCTCAGCTCTCTTGTATTATTTTCTTCCCCTATTTTGGTGTTAATTTTCTTCTGCTCTAGCTTCTCTGGTCTCCTCTGGTGGTTTGTGAGCATGTCTTATTCATCCTGTTGTGACAAACATCAGATCAGGGTTCAAACCGGGTTCAAGGTCCAGGTCAGGTGAAGGGGGGGGGGGGGGCTGAGTTTGAATTGATGCAACGTCTCCATTAGAGATGTGTGTGTGTGTGTGTGTATGTGTGTGTGTGAGAGAGTTCTCTGCAGAAGAATCAGGAAGCAGATGCGGCTCCTCCTTGTTGCCATGGCAGCGACAGTGTAAACAACACAACAGTGCTGGAGCAGCTCTGTGTGCATCTGTTTAAATCCTGTTTTTATCAGATCCAGATCTGCTGGTTCAGCAGAGTTCACATCAGATCGTCGTCCACCTGCAGAGCTGTAATGACTTTCACATTTTACAGGACGACTGCACAGAGTCCACGTTCACATCTTACTCACTGAATGTTTTACAAATAGTTTTCAGATTATTAACTTTTATTTGTTACATTTTGCCAGTTTCATTCTTCAGAGATTTACATGATCCGAGGAAACAATCCAAGCTAAGATAACATGAAGACAGTTTGAGGGATGAGACTCTGTTCAGATTCTGTCCTTTATTTTGAGAAGAAATGATTCAGAGGTAGATTCAATTCCCTTTAATCTCCGTCAGTGTGCAGAGTTTGTCTAAAAGATCCTAATTAAATACAGGGCCGTGTCCAAAGGGGTGGCAATGCCCACCTTCAAATCTGATTGACCACCCCAGGTACCATCACAAAATCCATATCTACGATTGGCCTTTGCCTTATCAGGGGCGGGACAGATCAACTATCCTGGCTGTTTTCAACAGAGTAGAACTTAAAGTTGTAAATATTTACTTTGCAATTTCCATAAATATGTCCAAGCAGACACTCATTTGTACCGTCTGAGGTCCAAAATGCAAAGTTTTCATTAAATAAATCTGACTGGTTGAAAAAAATGAGGTCCCCTTTTTGGTGGGTCCTGACGCGAGACCAGTTGAGAACCATTGCTCTATAAAATTTACAGATACATCTTTTCATTAAAAATGTTTTACTCAGCTGGAGCGTCTTAAACAGCTGCTTCACATCGAACAATAGGAACTCCATAAACTCTGTGATCTGAATATTTACATTCTTTTAAAGACACTTTACATCAAAGTTAAAACATGATATCACATAGACTGCAGAAATAGACTGCAGAAGACGTCTGTATACACTGACAATCAAAGGTAGGGGTTAGGATTTATTTGGGGAGGGGATGGAGAGTGTGGGCATGACATCAGAGAAGGGGGTACCCTCGTTAAAATGAGGCTCTGAAATAATAATCTGCAAACGAATGCAAATTATAAAACTATAAGTATCCTAACATGAAACATTAAATGGCTGCTTTTTGTGTCTTCAAACAGCCTTCATTTTCAGGTTCCAGGCTGCATGTCCTGACCTTCCTGCAGAGGAGCAATAACCCCGGACAGAAAGAGACACTCAAGGAACTACGACTGTGTTGCATTCTTTGTAGTCTCTTTACTTTTTTGTGCTATTTTGCATCAATTTGTTTTACAGTTTTTTACAAATCTATTAGAAGACATTTGCATCCCTTAACAGACAATTATTTCCAGTTATTTCGCATCAATTTGTAGTTTTTGATTTAACATCTATTAAAAGATATTTTTCATCCCTTTGTTGCCCTTTTAAATCATTATGTAGATATTGTGCAAGTCTGTAGTTGTTTGGCATCCCTTTGTATTTTTTTTCATCTCTATGAAGTCATTTTGTACTTATTTGTATTCTATACACATTTTGCATCCCTTTGTTGTCAGTTATGCCTCTGTAGCCATCTTGCATCATCTTGGCAGGCATTACATATTAATATAATATTAGGTGTTTTGCATGCATTTAGAGGTTATTTGTATCTCTTTAAAGTAACTTTGTCATTCTGCATCTCTATGTAGATAAATTACAGGTTTTTGTAGACATTTTACATCCCTTGACATTTATTATTTATCTCGTAGGCATTTTGCATCCATATTGAAGTTTTTTATCTCCTTGAGGTAATTTTGCATCCCTTTTCTTCAGCTCTATGTAAACCTTTTTCATCTCTGTCATTTTTATGTTTTATAGGCATTTTGTCTTCCTTTCTTTGTCATTGTGGCATTCATCTATTTCTAGGTATTTCCCATCCATTTTCAGGTTTTTAAATCTCTTACCATTTTGCATCTCTGTCATTAGTTTTGTTATAGGCAGTCGTTCTTCTTATTTAGTTTAAGTTATTTTTCTTTTTCCTTTGTATTTGTTTTGTAGCTCATAGAAGACATTTTGCATCCCTAATTTGTCATTCTGCATCTCTTTTGTATATATTGTTCAACTTTTTGTAGTCTCTGTGCATTGTTCTGAAGTTTGTATGTATTGTAGTTTTCTCAGACATTTTTGTAGTCTTTTAGGCTTGCAATACCTTGGCAGAAACCTTGATTGAACATGTTTGTTATCTCTCTCATTTTATGGTATTTTGGTTATATGAAGCGTTTTCCTTTTTCCTGCCAAATTTAGTTGTATACATATTTACTGTTTTCTGAAAGTCTGCCTGTGGAGTGTGGACAAACAGCTTAATGATCACATGAAACCCAGAATAAAGCGCCATAAAGAGGTCAGCGGCAGATTCACCCTACGATTGTCTTTATGTTCACCACTTCCAGAAACAGCCAACATTCAGTCTTTTAGTCCGCTCTCTTTGGAAATATGGAAGTATAAACACAGTGTTAAAAGTCCAGAGTCCCCTCAGTTCTTTAGGTTAACCTATCTTTGGACCTGCTCCTGACCCGAACCCCCTCCGTCTCACCGCTGAACGCAGACACCAGTTCTTCGACGCTGCTGGCCGAGCGGGGCATCTCCTCCACCTCCTTCGTCTTCGTCCTCTTCTTCTTCGGGTTTATGTTCAGACTCTTGGAGCGAAGCGTCGGGTACAACCTGTCCTCCCCCAACAGCAGCTCCTCCTCCTCCTCCGTCCCCTCCTCCCTCCCCTCCCTCACCATGGTTACTGTCACCTGTCTCCCCCTCCTGAACACCATCAGGAGGCCCAGATGAACTGGCCTCCACTTTCTGTTCGGTCTCACTGCCTCCACTCTTCTCCTCCGTCACTCTGGGAGAAGGTTTGGCGCCCCCGTGAGGCATGCTTTTAGATCTGGAGGCAGGTTTTGAGCCATGGGTGGTTAAACTGTTAACCCCCTCTTGATCTCTGTGTGTGGGGCTGTCACCTAATCCAGACTTCAAGCTAGGGGAGGGGGAGGCGCTAAGTGGTGGAGATGATAAATACTGAGTGAACTTTGACGTATCCAAAGGGAAGGATACAGTCGCTTCCAGTCGAGTTTTCTCTGCTGGTTTCTCCACACTAGCAGCTGTGGAGTAAGGTTTAGGAGAACCTGGACTGCTGCCGGGGTCACAGAGGGAGATCAGGATGTCCACATTGGACAGAGACTGAGCCCTCCCTTTACGTCCCACCACTTCAAGAGTTGACCCGAACTCCTTCACTTCACCTAAAAACAGAAAGGAAGAGTATGCATCATAATTCTTCTCATGTAGAAACAGAGCAGGGCTGAAATAGAGGGGTTTAAGTATCAATGAGAAAACAAAAGTTAGGGGGCTTTAATCACATCTGCAGTGATCCATAATTTAACAACTTTTCAAACGTTGTCATGTAAATATAAATACTTGTCACAGGGACCCTTGTTTTGTCTCATTTTTACTGGTCCTACCTGCCGTGTTTCTGCCCTCTGTGTGTCCCTCTCGTCTCTCTGGACTCTGCTGAACCCTCCTGTCGTGTCCCTCCAAGTCTCCGGTCACAGAGACCCTGTCGTCATGGTCCAGCTGGTATCTGTACAGACTGTAGCCGTCTGTGCTGTTGATGCTGCCGTGTCGAAGCAGAGCAGCCGGCTCGCACACGGACGATCCTCTGGAGCGCGTGCGGATGAGCTCGGACCGGTCGACGCCCGCCAGCTTCTCGAGAGCGTTCATCATGCGACTGGAGAACTCCTCCAGCTGAGCCAGACGAAGGTCCACCGTCTGCAGGGACGCCTTCATCGAGTGCTCCCTCTCGTTGACCTCCTCCAGACGCATGAACATGTTCTCCACCCTGAGCAGAGAACAGAATACACAGACTGAGAGCAGCTTCGGCTTGGTTTCACTTTAAACATGATCCTTTTGACGAAGAAGACTAGAAAAGTCCATTTACCATGTAAAAAAACATGGGTTACAAAAGCAGCAGCTGCTACTCTTCTCAGCTAGTTAGCATTAGCATTAGTTTTTATCTTAGATTTTTCATGATTCCATTTAGTTTCAATAACACTAAAATGAAATTAATCAGTTAATGAGAAAAACGTTTTAGCTTCAGCTGAGACCAGACTAACATTGAGTGTGAGGCAAGAATCTGGGAGCCAGTCTGCAATCTTAGACAATGCTGAAGTCTATTTGGCTTCTTGCCTGTCTTAACATGTGTGTAAATGACAGTGTCATCTGCATACATTTGGATTTCAACTTCTGGGCATACAAGTGGCAGATCATTGACATATAAACTGAATAAAAGAGGTCCTAGGATTGAGCCTTGAGGAACACCAACAAAACAATCAACAAATTAAATCCTCTCTCCAACTCGTGTACATTGCCTCCTCTTTGTTAGGTACGACTCCATCCATTTGATTGCATTTAGGGAAAAGTTAAAATTGGATAGCTCTTAGAGGAGAACATTATGATTTACTGTGTCAAATGCTTTTCTCAAGTCCAAGATTTCAGCTTAAGACAATCTCTTCTCGACTTCAGCTGAAAACAAGGCACCCTAACGGTGCATTGACTTGTACTAATAAGGCAAATAAAAGTTTCTGTAGCTGGTATTTTTCAATCAGTATGATATGAGTGTCTCTTGCCGACCTCTCTGATGTGACTCTGATCCTCTCGTTGTTGGAGGATTGTTTCTCGTCGTCTTTCTCTCTGAAATATTCCTCCACACACTGCTCCTCGAACTCGTGCAGACTCTTCAGCTCATCGGCATTCAGCACCAGCTCTGCGGAAACAAAGAGGATTCAACATCTCAGGAGGGGGACTGTTTTCATCTTTTTAGAAAAAAAACAGTCCTCAATCCCCTCGTTCTGATCTCAGACTCTCTCAGTGAATCAGATCTTACGGAGTCGTCTCTCCCGGTCGTCGTGCTCTCCCTCCGTCCTCCATCTGCAGCGGCAGCACAGCCTCTTCAGGACAATGCAGATGTGGGGGATGATGATGAGGGGGGGAGGCAGGATGGGGCGGTCGTGGAAGGTCATGATCAGCTGATACCTCTGGAACTTCCACACCTGGTTGGAGATGGACTTCACCTCGAAGAACGTGTTGCTGTGGAGAGAGAAGAGGGGAGTGATTTCCTGGTGGTGAGTGGTGGTGAGAAGATACTGAACATCAGATGTTTATCAGATTGGGTTTAAGACCTTCATAAATCATGGCTGAAGGTTGAAATTAGGCCTGTATGTATGCCAGTATATTATAAATAAGGAGTTCTTTGGTTTCACAGACTAAGACAAAGACGAGACAAAGAAAAAGATGTTTGTTAGTAAAAAATGTTCCATGTTTGTGAGGCGGGTCTGAGGTCTTTTTGTGTGTTTGATATTAAAGTGTCAGCAGCAGGAGGATTGGGCGGTGAACACTGACTTGAACACGGCGATGAGCAGGTTGACCAGCAGGATGTTGGCGACCAGCAGGTAACAGGCCATGATGGCCGGAGTGAGCCAGGCTCCGGGGATACAGGGAGGAAGTTTCTTCCCGTCTTCATCGTACAGGTTGTCTCCACATGGAGCTGGAAAAAAACAATCCCCAAACTTTATTGGTTAATAAACAACGTGTGTGAAACTGCTGGTATGATCCTGGACCTTTGAAGGAGACTGCACATTAAATCCTGTAACACTAACAGCTCTCTTCAATGTTTAAAATTTTGGGCTGCAGTTCCCATTTTAAACACTAGGTGTCAGAGTTACTTATTGCTCCTTTAACGATAAGACATTTTACTTGGACCAATTTTGAATTGTTTAATTGTGAGGCAGTCACAGGAAACACACTTCCTGTTTGTGCACCAAAACTTCCTGTTTGCCTTTTACAACTAGAAATACATAACTACACAAATCATGATTTTCACTTCAGAGAAAATTGAATCCGAGATACTTACGATTGATTTCCATCGCATAAACTGTCAGTCAAAAGTGAAAGTAAAAGAGACAGAAAGTGATCCGTTACTGAAGAGAAACATCATGTTCATGAATGTCAGTGAGAGAGAAGAAGATTAACAAGAGGAAAACAACAATATGAAAATATATTATTTTGGTCTCTTATTTGTTAGCAGAACTTCTCAGGATTTTTAAAGACTTAGCATACGTTCACTAAACATTTTTTACTCCTCCGTGTACACTTAATATAGCTTCTAACACATGAACTTCAAGAAGATTTAAAATAACAGTGGGTGGAAACAGCAGGTAAAGACAGAGAGTGAAGACAGCCTGTGAGGACAGAGGGTGGTCAAGGACAAGAGGTGAGTATAAAGGCAATGCGTTAGGACAATGATGAGGACGAAAGGTTGAGTTAGAGGAAGAGGGCAGCTGGTTAGTTGAGTCAGGGGAAGGAGTAGTAGAGGGTGAGACCAGTGAATGAGAAAAGCGGTGAGGACAGTGGGAGAGGAGACAATGGGTGAACTGAGGGTGCATTCCAGATGTGTGCACACCATGAAGGGGTTATTCTCTGGTGGGATGCAACAGACCTGTAGTATTGCTTAATATGTAAAATATGTAACCTGAAACTTGAGAGGTTCAGTGATAGGGGAAAGACAAAGGGTGAGGACAGGGGGTGAGGACGTGGAGTTAGTTTAGAGGTTCTGTGATTAGATGAGGACAAAGGGTGAGGACAGGGGGTGAGGACATAGATTAAGTTAGAGGTTCAGTAATAGGGGGAGGACAAAGGGTGAGGACAGTGGGTGAGGATTTAGAGTAAGGTTAGGGGTTCAGTAGAAGGGGGAGGACAAAGGGTGAGGACAAAGCGTGAGGACAGAGGGTGAGGTTGTAGACTGCGGTTAGTTCTTTAGTGATTGGGTGAGGACAAAGGGTGAGGACAGTGGGTGAGGACATAGAGTAAGTTGAAGGTTCAGTGATTGGGTGAGGACAGAGTGTGAGAACAGTGAGTGAGGATGTAGACTGTGGTTAGTTCTTTAGTGATTCGGTGAGGACAAAGGGTGAGGACAGTGGGTGAGGACAAAGAGTTAGTTTAGAAGTTCAGTGATTGGGTGAGGACAGAGTGTGAGAACAGTGGGTGAGGTTGTAGACTGCGGTTAGTTCTTTAGTGATTAGGTGAGGACAAAAGGTGAGGACAGTGGGTGAGGACATAGAGTTAGTTTAGAGGTTCTGTGATTAGATGAGGACAAAGGGTGAGGACAGGGGGTGAGGACATAGATTAAGTTAGCGGTTCAGTAATAGGGGGAGAACAAAGGGTGAGGACATTGGGTGAGGACATAGATTAGGTTAGAGGTTCAGTAATAGGGGAAAGACAAAGGGTAAGGACATAGGGTGATAACGTGGAGTTAGTTTAAAGGTTCAGTGATTAGATGACGACAAAGGGTGAGGACAGTGGATGAGGATGTAGAGTAAGTTAGAGGTTCAGTAATAGGGGGAGGACAAAGGGTGAGGACAGGGGGGGATGTAGAGTTTGTTTAGAGGTTCAGTAATAGTGGGAGGACAAAGGGTGAGGAAAGACGGTGACGATGTAGACTAAGTTAGAGGTTCAGTAATAGGGGGCGGACAAAGGGTGAGGAAAGACGGTGACAATGTAGAGTAAGTTAGAGGTTCAGTAATAGGGGGAGGACAAAGGGTGAAGACAGGGGGTGAGGCTGTAGAGTAAGTTAGAGGTTCAGTAATAGGGGAAGGACAAAGGGTGAGGACAGTGGGTGAGGACGTAGAGTTAGTTTAGAGGTTCAGTGATTAGATGAGGACAAAGGGTGAGGACAGTGGGTGAGGACGTAGAGTAAGGTTATGGGTTCAGTAATAGGGGGAGGACAAAGGGTGAGGAAAGATGGTGAGGATGTAGAGTAAGTTAGAGGTTCAGTAATAGGGGGAGGACAAAGGGTGAGGACAGTGGGTGAGGACGTAGAGTAAGGTTATGGGTTCAGTAATAGGGTGAGGATTTAGAGTAAGGTTAGGGGTTCAGTAATAGGGGGAGGACAAAGGGTGAGGAAAGATGGTGAGGATGTAGAGTAAGTTAGAGGTTCAGTAATAGGGGGAGGACAAAGGGTGAGGACAGGGGTGAGGATGTAGAGTAAGTTAGAGGTTCAGTAATAGGGGGAGGACAAAGGGTGAGGACAGTGGGTGAGGAATTAGAGTAAGGTTATGGGTTCAGTAATAGGGTGAGGATTTAGAGTAAGGTTAGGGGTTCAGTAGAAGGGGGAGGACAAAGGGTGAGGACAAAGCGTGAGGACAGAGGGTGAGGTTGTAGAGTGCGGTTAGTTCTTTAATGATTGGGTGAGGACAAAGGGTGAGGACAGTGGGTGAGGACGAAGAGTTAGTTTAGAGGTTCAGTGATTGGGTGAGGACAGAGTGTGAGAACAGTGGGTGAGATTGTAGACTGCGGTTAGTTCTTTAGTGATTAGGTGAGGACAAAAGGTGAGGACAGTGAGTGAGGACATAGAGTTAGTTTAGAGGTTCAGTGATTGGGTGAGGACAGAGTGTGAGAACAGTGGGTGAGGACATAGAGTAAATTAGAGGTTCATTAATTGGGTGAGGACAGAGTGTTAGAACTCACAGGCGGCTGACTGTAACTCTTACTATGAACTCTAGTCTTACGGTCTATGGAGTCTGCAAACACCTCCCCGTAAATCATCCAGTACGGCATGTAGAAGATGTTTCGGGCCAGACGCCAGGTGGGCTCCTCGTCCGGGTGGAGGATGGCCTGCCGAGCTACACCGAAGCTCATCAACACCACCAGCATGATGACCACAAAGTACAGCATGTCCACCATCTAGATAAAGCCATGACCATTTACCATAAAATGACTTTTTCTCTATGGACATGTAGAATATCTGAGATGTCAATGTAACTTTTGGCCAACAAGTTATTTTATAAAACAAAGTGAAAAATTAAGTCAAATTGCACTAAAGCTATGATGTTGCACCATTTTGCCGATCATCATGACGTATGGTCCCAGGTACTTGTTGACTCCGAAGATGTCGAGGACTCGGATGTACCAGAAGATGATGTCGACGCAGTAGATGACTCGCCCGTAGCCCATGGAGGGCTCGCTCTGCAGCCGCAGCAGTAAACCAAGCAGGAAGACGGAGATGGCCGCCAGATCTGTGATGTTCCAGTAATCCTCCAGCCAAACGTTAATCTTCTGCTTCAGCTTCCCCGGCTCCGACATCAGGATCTGAAGAGAGACGGGATGGTTAAATTTACTGACAGAATCTCCAGTCAATGTGATCTCTCAGGTCATGCCCAACCAACGCAAACAGACACAATTTTTATTTTCAGACCCTGAAAATGGAAACATCTGGGTCTATCAGGGGCACAGACAAGCATTTTTATTGGAAACTTTTTGATTTGCACCTGAGTATTGTACTGTACCCGTAACAGTTTGTTTTAGGGCTGCTGGAAGAAGCCATCTTTGAAGCAATTATCAAAACTTAAGTGACTCACTGAGTCATTTAGACACCAATCTATATTCAAATAGAGCCGTGATTGAATGATTGATCCGACTTTATTGTCAGATAAAGTCTGAAATGTGTCTTGTATCACAGCAGTTCAATTAGCAACATAAAAATTAAAAAGGCAAGATACAAAGATACAAAGATTTCCCACGACATTCACACATCAAACTAATATTTAGAGGCCTTCAACGCACTTTGATCTGGCATTAAACTCAACATTTGGAAACAAATGGATTCCTCCTCAGAATCCCGACACCGTACAGAGCCCTGAAGCATTCACCTGCCGGACTTTCTCCAGCCCCAGAGTGATGATGTAAGAGATGACGATCCACTCCTGCAGAGACGGCCATCGCTCCATCTTCACCAGGATGATGTAGTTATACAACATCAGGTACACCAGGTAGGAGATCTGAAAAAGGTGAGGTACAGTACGGAGTAAAAAGCCTGACTGCATCTGTTGTATAAACATCAAGTTAATCGTTACTGATGTGACTGACTATACGTTTCAAAACTTGCCGTGTTAAACCAGAACTTGGTGAAGGGAGTGTTGTAAAACTCGTAAATCTTCCTCCCGATGGGCGTCCTCTTTTTCGGGTTCTTCTGCTCTTCCTCGTCGTCTCCTTTCTTGGACGTTGCGTCCACGTTTGAGACGGCGTCCTGAAACAAAAAACTTGTCAGCAATCATGCTGCTGTAATAAATGTACGCTGTGAGGAATACTGAGGCTGCTCTGCTTCTTGGATACCTTGCTGGATTTGTTGTCGTCCTCTTTGGTTTTTCCCTCCTCGTTGTCTCTTGAGGAATGAAAAGAAGTTTCATCTCCGAGACGAAACTCCAGGAGGAGAATGGCCGGAGGGAAAACGATCCCTAAAATCACCTGGAAATACAAAATCTCTTCTTTAACACGTCTACACTGACCAACACTGGAAACCGCCAGCTATTGCAGCTACATAAGTATTACACACATGTATGTATGTGTGTGTGTGTGTAGATCATGTGTTATAATGAATCATGTGAAAACTATAAATGTGGCATTTCTTTTATCATTCAAGATTCATTTTGATTTCTATGTGTCTGAACCTCCTGCAGAGACCAGTGAGCCCCTCTCCCGGTGCTGGTTTTGTCGGTACCTTGAGGCTGTTGCTCTTGCCCATCCTCAGACAGCCCATCCACATGTCGGTCAGCAGCATCTGGCTGCAGGTGTGCGCGATGAAGTCTCTGTGTTTGGCGGCGACGGCCAGCTTCAGACAGGTGGAGTTACTCCAGTTCTTCAGCTCGTATGTCAGCAGCTTCATGGCCACCTGCTCGTCGTGTTTGTACGACTGATCGAGCAGCTCGTAGGCCAGCTGACCGAACTCCCTGCACACAGAAACACACTCGGTCTAAAGACATGTTTACAGAAACTCCTTCACATACTGGCTGCTGCATTATTGTCTGAGAAGCCAGCACTTCAACATAGCATGTTGTCACATGCCTGATGATATCATAAGGTTATCTTATCATTTCATTCAGTAGTTATCCTACACATTGGTCCTTTAACAGCAGCAAAGCGATGACTTTGTAGTAAAAGAAGTATAATCATTAGAGTTTGGACTGACTTGGAGTTGTTCTCCAGGTCCTGGTAGATGTCGTCCACCAGCTCGCTCTGTGACGACTCGTGAGCCATGGCCTTGTAGAGCTTACAGGCCACCAGGGCTTTGGCCATGGCTTCCTCCCCTCGCTGCCACAGGAACAGCGCCATCTTCTGGCGCTTCATCAGCACGGCCCACACCATCAGCTCGTGGAACGGGTACTGGAACCTGCTTACCTCGGGGTCGTCCACGTCAATGTCCACCTCCTCCTCTTTCTTCTTGTTCTTCTTTCCTTTCCCCTTCGCACGAGGCTCGTCGTCCTGCAGGAGGAACATGACCACATGTAAGTCACTGAATCCACCATCAGCCGAGGCCGTCTCCACACTCAGAGGAATATTACAAGATACTTAAAATGAACAAACCTCCATCCCAAGAAGCTTCAGAGCTTTAGGCTGTGAAAGATAAGAAAACAGGATCAGTTGATTATCATTTTTAATGAAGGCTCTTTTATTAGAGCCCACAAATCTGTAACCTTTATTTTGAAAGACGTGTTTGCAGGACCAGCTGGTATTATACATGGTCAATTGGGTCTCATGGTTTTGAAGTTAGGGATGTAGAAACACTTGAAAAAGGGAAAAAAAGATGTGGAATACATTGTTTGAAAATAAAAGTGTGTTTTAATGTCACTCTTAAAAAGGCACGTGTGATCAGTGCTGCACCTCTGTGCTGCCATCTAGTGGATCTTGTAAATACCACATTCTGCTAAACAGACATTTAAAGAGGGCATTTTATACGCCTTTTCCACCTTTTCAAACAGTCCCCTGTGGTCTAAATGAAACATCTGTGCTGTGCTTTGGTCAAAATATAACATGAATCAAGCACCAGAGGAGGTTTGTGACCCTGTATAAACCAGCTCTCTCAGAACGCTCAGTTTTGGTGCGTGTGTCTTTAAATGCAATGAGCCCCCCTGAGTTTTCCCGCTAGACATCACTCCTTCCCTAGTGAGAATAAAATCCACTGGGGGTGGAGTCCATGGGTGGAGATATCAGGGGAGGGGTGGGGATTTTTTTCTTTACCAGAATCCCACTGTGACATCACAAGGGGAGCACATTTGAAAGGGAGCATTTTTCTCTGCGTTGTAAGACTTTTACAGACCACAAACAAAGGACTGATGGGTTTATTTCACCTTTTGTGGGTCGGTAGACACTCAGGTTACCCAAATATATGTTCAAAAACGCTGTCAAAGTTGATTTTCCACAATATGTCCTCTTTAAATCGGCTGTTTCCATGTAAAGATGAGATAAAGTTTATTTTATTTAGCACCATTTGTGAAGTGACCACCCTGTCGTGTCCACTCTGAGTATGACTCACTCTCTTGAGGCCGTACAGGTTGTTGTACAGTGTCCTGAAGCTCTTCCTGGTGTATTTGCAGCGATAAGCTCCGCCCATCAAGAGCTCCAGCACCAGGCCGATATCGATCAATGTGATCTGATAGTCTGGAGGAAGATTCCCCTGAAACACAAAATCAATGTTTAAAAAGTACTACTGAGACCATCAGCAGTAAATAATAACATTCATAAACCTTTATACTCTGCAGATGAAGCTGCGGGAGCAACTTGGGGCTAGGTGTCTTGGTCAAGGACACACTGGACATGTAGCTGCAGGAGCTGGGGATCAAACCCCCGACCTTCCATTTGAGAGATGATGACTCTACCCACTGAGCTACAGCCGCCCTGCTCTATTGATCCCTCTAACTGACAACAAATCAAATATTACTGATAGCTGTATCAAATAAACAAAACAAAAGAAAACAAGACATTATGTGGAATTCATTATTTTGAACATAAAAATGTGTGTTAATGTCACTCTTAAATGCACCTCTGTGCTGCCATCTAGTGGAACTTAACTGTAAATACCACATTCTCCTGAACATTGAAATAATTGACTGTTTCAGTGGGTTCTCTCGGGATACTCCAGCTTCCCCCCACAGTCCAAAGACATGCTCATTAACTGATTGGTTAACTGGTGACTCTAAATTGCACGTAGGTGTGAATGTGAAGTAGCTGGTTGTCTGTCTCGACTGCCGACCAGTCTAGCGTGTAACCCCGCCTCTCGCCCGGCGACAGCTGGGATTCACACCCGCCATCAACCACCCCGTGGTTTACATAATGGATGGATGGATGGAGTAGTGATCAAATGTACGATGGCATTAAAAGGACTTCAAACCTCAGAATAAGTCAAACCAGGGCAACATCTTGTGTTTCTGTCTAATCTGAGCCTGTTTCTTTAAAACACAACACTTACTTTTTTAACGTCTCGGACCACAAAGTGCAGCGTGTTGGCCGGTCCCAGCTTCTACAACAGCAAAGGAACAAACAGGAAACTTAAGAAAAGTAAAAAAACATCAATCACACTAATGTCAGGCACAGACTGATTCATGTCTTTGAAAGATGTCAGGCCACATTGGCACAATTAAATCATCTTGTTACAGGATCATGACAGAATCTATGTTAATGATTTTACAACTGTGATGGCCACACAGGAGCAGAATGGCTGTGAAGCTGACAGACGGCAGCACAGAGCTTCACTTTGATCTGAGAATAATGGGACTCACATGAGCACCACATGTTGTGTTAAGAGCCTTTTTTTTTTCTAAGTGAAGCAGATGAAGATTAAAGACAGCCGTGATATAACAAAAGATGAAGGGGATCACTGATGGATGTTAAGCTGCGGATCAACATGTCAATGAGAATATGGAGGTTAAAGCAGAAAGCTTTTGTTTAATGACTCGTCGTAGGAAAGAGGAGAGAAATGCTGTTTGTAATAATAAACCATGTTTTCATCCTGGCCCCCCAAACACAAGGGCACCTTTTTCTGCAAACTCTTACAGCTCAAAGGACTTATTTTATGAACTGTTACTCAACAAACAAGGGAATTTGTAAAATATAAATCATAAGCATGAGTAATGAAGTGATATTAGACCCTTATATCACTGAGAATAGAGTCAGTCAGCAGATTTAGGGCTCAGCCACGGAGCAGATCTGCAGAAAAATATTCATCTTTATTACAAAATAATCGATTTTTGGCTGTTTTTGGGGGTCGATGGAAACGAGCTGTAGAAGCAAAACTACAAAATAAGAATATAGAAATTGCTTTCCCTGCGTTACAGCCAGGATTTAGGTGTCCCCATGGACACTGGGACATATTTTAAATGGTATAGACTTCTCTATGCTCTTAAACTGTTGCTGCCACAGTTAAAATACAGGAAGGGGATTTATTGATTCTTGACACAGACGTTGAGTTGTGTTGTATTGAGCTCAGGTGTTTTCTTACCGTGTTGTACAGCTCCTCCAGACGAGGAATAGTCAGGAAGTGATGGATGTTCACTCCGTTCTCAATCAGCAGCTTCACAAAGTCCACCCTGTCCAACACCAGAGCGTCCATCATGGCCTGTTCCAGAGAGTTCACCTGTGGCAATATCATCATCATCATCATAGTCAGCACCTGCCGATAGCGTCACCTGACCAAGGTCATCACTAACTAAGCTTACACCGTTTTGAAAAACAAATTCACCCACTGACATGACCAGTTGGTGAATAAATACAGAGTTTGTTTTTCCTCCAAAATAAGAGAAAAATGTCCACTTAAGCTTTACAGCTCACTTGGGGTTTTAAGATTGCAATGGAAATATTTAACCTTAAGATTCCTTTCATTAAATTTTATAAGGTTATATATCTGTGTTGTTTCTACACTGTTTAGCTAACGGTTAATTTTAGTGTTTAGTCTGCTTAGCTAGCTCGCTGTTGGGTTCTGTATCAACACTGTTAAGCTAACTGTTTGTTGTTGTCTGCTATTAAAACTGTAGCTAACAGTTGAGCTCTTCATCTTCACTGTTTAGCAAAGTTAATTTGTTTTATTGTATTATGTTAAGCTAACGGTTGGGTAGTAATAGCTGCACTGTCTGTGATTAGGGCGATATTTTCTCATGTTTAGCTAACAGAGCTGTTAGAGTCATTTATGTGAGAGAGTAGTTATCTTTTGTGTTCGGCAGCGTTTTATCTACTCAGGCCAATGTAGCATGCCTAATTGAAGACAACTAAGACTGCAGTCAACTCTTACTGCTGATTGACAAAAGGCCACACCGTGCTTTACATTTAGCAGGCTACTTTGTAACTGTTGTTTCCATCTCTACTGACAAGAACAACGTAGACTATTGAAACAAACTTTTTCAGCTCTGCAGTTTGTGTGCACATTTTTTGGATAAAGGACGGAGCCACACTTACAGTCGGGTTCACTGTTTATTTAACAGTTCATTTTAAAAGCTAAGTTAAAAGTTTTGGTGTAAAACTGTTTAACAGTTGGGTTTGCAGCTTCACTGTTTAGCTAAATGTCTTAACTGTTAACTATGGTTCAGTAAGGCTATGTAAAAACTATTGCTAATGGTTCTTTTTTCTGAAACAGGTAAACTGGTTCAGTTTATATTTGTATTAGTTGGGTTTTATTACATAGGCTTCTTTGTTTAGCTAATGGTTGTTAACATGATTAGATTATGGCTGATTCTAGTTTGAGCAGAGTCGTAACTGTGTTCATCATATTCAGATGTGTATTTTAAACTGATAAGCTAATTTCATTTAGTCTGAAACTGCCTAGCTAGGTTTACGATACTATTTACATAATGATTCAGTAATATAAACTTGGTATCTTACAGTATAACTTAAAAGTTGTTAAGAGAAGTTCTATAGGCTGAATGTTCAACTTTGCTTTGAAGTGATTAAACTAGACTTCAGTTTCTTAGCGTATATTTTGAGCTCAATAACCATTTTGGCAAACTATTCAAAATCAAAGTTATATCAGTTCAGTTCCAGGTCGTGATTCAAGCTAACTAAACAAAAATACGACTTTATCTATAAAATGTGGGTTATTTTTGAAAGTCAAACATATTGGTGATCAAGTTTGCTCTAATTTCTCACCCAGTTACGCAGCTCCAGTTTCCTGGGGTCAGTTTCCTCAGGTGGTTCAGGTTTGGCTTTGGCTCCTTTTCCTTTCTTCCCTCTGGCTTTCCCTTTCCCCCCTCCTCCTCCTGCTGGTGCTCGCTGCGGTGCAGGACTTCTAGGCCGGTCATTCACAGCAGCAGATACAGGCTGCAGAAACACCATCAAACAAAACTTCATTAAGAGATAAAGGTTGGATTGACATTATCTTTTGGTACCATTGAATGCCGATCAACATTTAAAACAACAAAAACATATATTTTGTGTCTGCAAAGTTAACTTTGAGGAACAGTTTGCAATTTGACTACACCTAAAACAGGATTATAAAAGACACACAGGCACATGGAGCTGAACCAGTAAACTCACAGGCCAGTGGAGTCCGTACACAAAGATCTGACTGCGAGCGATGTCCACTCTGTTCCAGGCCAGAGCCAAGCTCAGCTGATCAGACGCTGATGCATTGGTACCTAAATTACATATCAACAAAGAAAGCAGGTGTTACTTTACCTTAGATTGATACACCCAACCTGCACCGGGTTCGGTGCCCTTGCTTAATGGTACCTCGGGAGTACTCGACACTTGGCACCTCTACAGGAACTCGACCGACTTCCATACTTTGGGATTGGCAAGTTTTGTAAACTACATTATATTCTACTTCCTTTTGTCTTCTGTTTTTCTTCATTATCAAAACAACATCGATGTGATATAAAAGTTGCTTAGTGCTTCATGAGGGATTAATGTTGGGTTTTTGCAAATAACATAACATAATAACACAATCATTTAAAAAAGAGCACAGTCTAAAGCTGCCCTTTTAGTAAAGTGTCTTGAGAGAGCATCTATCTATTGGTGCTATACCAATACAGATTGATTGTTTGATATGTATGTTGTTTACCTTTAAGCAGAGCGGTCAGGATGGACATCTCAATATCCTGCTGTCCCTCTGAGCCCATCCTAAACACTGTGATCTGCAAACAAAACAAACAACAATGAGAGCTAATAATGCCAATGCTTTCATGCTTTTGTTTGAAGGAATGTTTACCTTGTCCATCATTTTTGTTTAGCATGTTAGCTTATATTAGCATTTAGCACAAAGTACAGCTGAGGCTGATGGGAGCTCTGAACATCTTGGGTGATTGACAAGTGGCAATCTTATTTTGTTTGACATAAACAAAATAGTCCATCATAAATTTGTCAATACTGCAGTTCCTCGAGCAGCCACTTGAGGCTGGCTCTAAAGTGAGTCAATCTCCATAGAGCACCATGTTACAAAGCCCATCTTAAAACAATTTTCCCCATTCATAAAAACAATATCCGGGATGATTGTATTTAAATGAACCACCTGCTTTAGATATAAACAAATCTTAAATGTATGGTTATAGTTACATGCACGGCCATTTTGTTTGACACATGGCTGCTTCTTGCTCTTTTCACCCCAGAGATCTGGCTGATTGCCAGACCGGTTCTTTAAGGATCATGGTTGTTTCCTTTCCTACCTCTACCACTAAAGATGTAGGCAGGTGAGTGGCAGGTTGGCAATGTTCAAAAGGCTCTCTCTGCTTATGTTAGTGGTTGTTAATTAACACGGCTATGTAAAATACAAAATGTTGCAAAAGTAGCATTTTAATTTTTGCGTGAATGTGTTTCCTGAAAGCCTTCAGCGTTTAGATTCTCCGGCTTTCTGCATGTTGCATCAGCGATAATAATCCAACAGAACTACATACAAACATAAGGATTTATAAAAGTTGTTTCTTATTTTGCAGACGAGCCTGAGAAAGCACTGGATATAGACACTAGTGTGTTAGTCCAGACCAAACTAATCAAGACCAAGACATACCCGAGACCAGAGTGCTCCGAGACCGAGGCGATAGACTCCAGCGTCCTGGGCTTCCATTGACATCATTGTAAGTTGCACATGCACATTTGTTCCTCTTCAACACACGAGATAGGTGCTTCGATAGAAGCAGGAAAAATACACTCATGAACGCATTGCACACCATCACCCAAAGGGAGGCAGCAGAGGGAGTTGTCCCATAAACTGAGACATAAAGAGCAAGTCATGCAGTGTCACTGGATCAGAGCTTTGCCTGTTCATGAAGATTTAGGGTCAGCAGTTTTTAGGTTTGTCTCCACAGGGTTTAGGAAACATATGCATGTGGTGTTGTTTGAGAAGTATGTTTAAAGTTAGAATAATTGTGATGCTCATTCTCTTAGCCAGTAGATAGCATTGTCCAGTATGTGTTAGCTTCAAGCTAAAAAACTAAAATAAACAACCTGCTCCATCGATGAGAAGTCGTGCCCACCCTTGTAAACAATGCCACACTGCTAAACAGTTGTCTACAAACCAGTGGGGGATTTTATAGTGGCTACACACATGTACACTGAAGCATCAGTAGGTCACTATGACTACATTTCATCCTGTGGAGAATGTTAATGTATGAGCAACAGTTGATCCAATTATTTAAATGTGACACTGTGAACCAATGAGGAGGCCACAATAACTTAAACCATGCAGCGTATACAGATGATTTGCTATAAAGAGAAGTTCACTGACATAAACTTGTTGGGCTGCTGTGTCAGAGCTGGTTTAATCCTTTTTCATCTTATTTTATATCTTAGGAGAAACATCTAAACCTGCATCATTTTAATCTGAAAACAAATCATTTAAGTGAATTGCTGTGATTGTATTTAAATTCATGGCCAGTCTGCTGCAGCTGTTCTTAGGGAGAAGCAGAGGATTGTGGGATTAAATAAATGGTGGAGGGTCACAGAACAATCTCCATTAAGCTGTGCTGGTTTGGGTCAGAGGTAAAACCTTTATCATTATATTAATGTTTCAACTGCTGAGGTCACAGTAAGCAGGTTTTATACCTCAGAAGAGAAATGCACATTTCCGAGGAGTCACATTTATTGCAGTGGTCGGACCATTGCTGACTTCTCTAAGATTCAGCGAAATGTAAAAGTTAGTTAACCGGGGTGTCATACTTTACTCAATCCAATTTCAGACAGCTTTATTTTTCGGAATTTACCTCAAGATGCAGTTTTCTAAGGGTGGTGAGGTAGTGTAATAGGACATCAAAATCAAAAGCAACAAAATGATTTCATTTCTGACGCTTAAAAATATCAATATTGCATCGTTGTTTTTCTTAAATGACTATGAAATCAAATAAAGATACTTAAGTTTTTTTTTTGTTTTGACATATGTGTCACTTATTTTAATCAGCTGCACGAGTGGCCCAACAATGAAATCGGTGTCCTGATGTTGATGTCAGCGTGAGTGAAGTGTGCAGCCTAACCCGACGGGTTTGTGCTCAATGGCTTAAAAAGGCTTCTCACCCTGGCTCTGCCTTCCCTGTTCTCTTTCTAACATCTCTCTGCAGATTTTCTTTTACGTTTCCCCACGTTTCTCTTTTCCTGGTTGGGATGGAGGGTTTCTTTACTGGGTGCTTGTCCTTTTGTTGGGCATTGGTGTCTTGTGTTTATTTTAAATACCTGTTTATTATTTTGAGATTTGTGTTTGTGCTTTTATCAGTTTTTATTTGTTCTATAGAAATAAAGTTGTTATTTTGCATCCAGCCCTAAGTGGCCACTCCCACAGTGGCTTCATTTTTCAACTACAGAGGTTCCACTTGGTCACAACCATGAAGGTTAAGAGGGTATACATTTAAGGGCAAAGTTTTTTTGTTGTCTAAAGCACAGACAGAAAGTGATATAATCTCTGCACTCTTGTGCTACAGTCACTTTGTCAGTGCACTGAGGCCTGACATGATGCATAAATGTGCCATATGACTTTTTTAAAGTGTTTCTTTTATCATTACAGACAGATAATATGTTTAAGCATTAAGTAACTGAGAAAATGAGTAAAAACAACAATGAATTTCAAGACAGGATTCACTAATGGTGATGAATAGTGAGCATGAAATCAGTGACGGATGAATTATGACACACAGATGACAGGACAAGTTATGAATGAGCAGTTTTATTTTGGCACTGATGGAAAACATAATAAAATGAGTATGTACATGTAGACAGGAGCTCAGTATCAGGTGTCATCATATCAGCGTCATGTCATACCAGTGCTCTCTTCTTCATACACTCCATCACCATGAGGAGGATTTGCTGCGCCTGACTGCGGCTGTAGTTGAAGGTTTTCTGGATGGTGACCAGCAGCTGATCTTTGACGCTTTCATTCACCAACCTGTGCGGGAGAAACGTCAAACACCTGTTATTTGATCGTATTGATATGAAGGGCTAAACAAAGCGAGTACAGCTCATACATTTTTTATGTACATGGAGAATTAAATGGGACCTATAGTAGTACCCTGAGGAACTCCTCAAGCCTAAATTGGATAGTCAGATTCTTTGCAGGCATTGATTGAAGTTACCATTTTCTAAATAAAAGGAAAATTGTAAGTGATATTTAAGATAGCCCAACCCATTCTTCAGATGATGAAATGGGTGGCCACTCTTTTGTATCCAACATAAGGTTGATACCAAGCTAAACTAAAAAGCAGCTTTCACCGGAATTAAAAAGTAAAAATATAATGTGCATGACTAATAATGATCTTGCTGGAGTACAATCTGTGAGTGTTACTCACCCGTCATCCTCACTGTATCTGTGTGCAAAGGAAAGGATGTCAGAGGCGCGGCCGCTCCCGTCACAGATGACAACTGGAACCGGAGGCTCCTCTTTCAGACTCTCCAACACGATAGAGATGACGTTTGGACCCCCCTCCAGTATTAGACACACCACAGGGACACCCTGACCCAGACCTGACACACACAGAAAACACAATAAGTATTTCCAAACAGGAGACTACTTTTCCTGCAGAGCATAGATGCTATTTCCATTTGTGTTGTCAAACATGGTATGAACTATCTTGCTTGCTAGTTTGAAACATAGTCCAAGTAATATCATGTGTTTGGTGATTTTCAGTGTTATCCGTCAGCACTCATTGGTTCCTTTGTGGTTGAAGTGAGAGGTGACAGCTGAGCATCCCTTTGCTGTCCCTGCCTTACAGACAGCTCCAGGCATAGGATGACAAAGGGAAACCCACAGGTCACATGATTTGTTGAATCCTGGAGTTCGACATAGTTACAGAAATGATGAACTATGGAGACTAAAACAGCACAAGAAAGTTTACAAAAGTGATATTTTGTATGGGAGACAGACAAAACCCCAATTCACAATATTCAAACTGTTAATTTTACAGGTGTCATCCTCAGGTTGGTAAGTTTAAATCCTAAAATAAAAGCCAGGAAGTAAAATTAAATCTTAATGTTACAAGGGTCAAATGGTACCCTGTGAGTGTCAAGGGATTAATATATTTATTTTTTTACGTTGGAATATGAGAAGTAGTCTCTCTGGATTTTCACTAGTCATTGTCTTTTTAATTGCAACACAATTGTGACACAGTTTTGTTTGACATTTATAACAATTGAGCTTCCCATCACTTAGGTTAGTGGAAAATGACGGCCAAGAAAATATAGTGAATGAAAAACTACGACTGAATTTTTTTCTGCATTTTACTGAACTAGAAGTGTTTATCTGTGAGGAGTTTGCATGGCACTTCTGCTTAAGCAGGTATTCTCAAGGTATTCTCCAGGTACTCAAGTCCTTCTCCAAATTGCCCATCAGTGTGAGTGTTAATGGTTGTAATTTACATGTGTAAGCCCTGTGCTGGAATCCTCTCCTGCCACCCTGTGACCCTTAGTAGGATAGAGATATAGATAAAGAATGGATGGATAGACTAAAACTGATGAAAGGAGAGATTCATTGTGAATAGTATATCTGTCTCAGGTGCTTCACTCACGTGTGTTGATCTTCTGCAGAGCAATGTGTTTCTCCAGCTGCCGGCGAAGTCGGACCTCGGCTCCATACTTCCCGTTTGTTCCGTTATCTGACAGAATGAAGTGGGAGTGGCTGCTGTTCAGGACTGACAGCTTGCTGAGTGGGTTCGACATGGTCTGATAGGGGCGTTACCTAAAATAAATGGACATATTTGGTGCAATCAGAGGTTTGAGGAGACATAACTAAGTCAGGGAAATAACATGTCTTTATATTCATATGGGGATGATTTATGACACAACAAATACTGTAAATCTGGATTGGCAGATTTGGACTGATTATGTTTAGTGTGGTTGGGCTTGGTAAATCTGGTTTGGGTTAGTGTGGTTTTGTGTGGCTTAGTTCGTACTGATTTTGGTTTTGACTGAGTCTGGCTCGGTCTGGTTTGGTCAAGTTTGGTCTGTCAAGATGTTTTTTTGGCCTTGTTTGGTGAGATTGCACCAGTTCAGTCTGGTTTGTTCTGATTGGGTTAGAACCCTTATGTTCTGTTTTGTTCTGATTTTGGTTGAATGTACTCTGGTGCTTTCTGGAATTGTCAGGTTTTCGCATGTTTTGTTTTGTTAAGTTCAGTCTGGTTTGCTCTTGTGCTGTTCAGATTGGTCCAGTTGAGTCTGGATCAGCCTGGTTGGTCAGACTTGGTCTTGATCAGTTGTATTTGGTCTGCTGCAGTTAGGGTCAGTACTTTCAGCCTGGTTCAGTCTTGGTAAATCTGGTCTGATTGAGATTGGTATGGTTCACCCTGGATTGATTTACGTCTCTTCCGATGAGGTCTTCTTTGTTTTCGACGATGCCCCATGGTGCAATGCCAATGGCGCAGACTTTCCCTCTGGACTTTGATGAGTGATCTTTGAGAGCATCTCCAACATGACGAATCACTCCTGAAACATGGCAGGAGGTTTCACCATGAAGTTAAGAACTGCAGCCTGCAACTTCACAAGTCTGGTCCCAAGTATTTTAAATTCATTGCCTGCTATTTTAGTTATAACATAAAATGTAACTTCTACAGGTCCCTAATCTGAACATATAGAGTGTCTGACTTTCGTACCAGTGCTGACTCCTCCGGTAAAGATCCAGGCTCCGGTGGTCACAGCCGCTTTGATCAGTCCTTTCCCAAAAACCTGCTTCAGTTTGGGCTGCAGCTCGAAGTTTTGTAAGCCCCCATGGACAGAAATTAGCAGAGTGGGAAGCTCCAGCTGCCAGTCCTTCACCATCAGGTGTAGCAGGTTGTCAGGTTTAGAGTCGTTGGAGACCCGTATATACTGCAGGGACAGGAGAGGGAAGAGGAGCTGTTGATGATCCACTGACGCATCAAGAAAAACATACATTTTATCTAATATTGAAGTATATGAAGCACCATGGACTTGTTGACATGCCCTCCTCCCTGGAACTCGATGACTCCGTAGGCGTCAGTTGGGTAGGTCTGGGTGTGCTTGAGGGGGCTCCATCTCTCTGTAGGTTGGGTCTCCAGCTGAACCAGGGGGGCACCCTCCTCTTTGGCCACCTGAGGGACGGCGCTGTGCTGCGCCACCAGCTGACCACAACTGCACCTAAAGAACAACAACAGATTATGTTTGGTCCACAGCAGAGAGACCTAAGAGATCTTATTGATTGCACTCAAACTTTAACTTCTCTTAAACTTTAGAAATATAATTTTATAAACAATAAGACAGATTGTTGCAAAAATAAACTTTCCATTATCTGAATGTAAATCTCAGTTTACCTGCTGGCGTCTTTGCTGGGAATAATCTGGATACATTCCCTCTTCTGGAAGGTTCTCTCAATCCATGCTCTCTGATTCTGCAAACAGAAAGTCAGTACTTTAATCAGACAGAAAATCATTCACAATATCTCAGTGAAAACGCTGATTAACACAACTTCCACTGGACTCCAGTGGCAAAAACAGTAATTTTATCTTTCAGAAGATGGGAGTTGCTGGTCTACCTTTGCCTCGATCGGTTAGTATATGGTTTAACAAAATATTATTTTAAACACAATAACTAATGTAATCCAACAAATGGAGCCACAGATTTAAACCAGCAACTCCAACAGTCCCCTGTGGTGTAAATGAAACATCTGTGCTGTGCTTTGGTCAAAATATAACATGAATCAAGCGCCAGAGGAGGTTTGAGACCCTGTATAATCCAGCTCTCTCAGAACGCTCCTTTTGTTGTCACAAGGAGAGCACATTTGAAACGGAGCATTTTTCTCTGTGTTGTAAGATTTATGCAGACCACAAACAAAGGACTGGATGGGTTTATTTCACATTTTGTGGGTCGGTAGACACTCAGGTTAACCAAATATATGTTAAAAAAATAGTGTCTGGTGGCCTTAAAGGGAGGAAAACAATATCACACTGTACAACAAACTTCCTAAAACCAACAGACATTTTTTAGTGAAGAGAAATATGTCGGGCTGACTCTTTCACAGGCTGCAGATATCATGAAAAAAAAGATGGAGGATTATTCTTCCCTTTGAATGTAAACCATTGAGATGTAAAATCATACAGATAGTTCATATAAAAATAATCTTTGCACACATTTCTGCGTACTCACTCACACACAGAGCTTTATTAAAGCACCTTAATTGAATCATGGACATTAAATTAAACTGCGGCTCAACATTTATAAAGCACAAATGGCTGAAATATCAGACTGTTCACGTCCGAATGAATCCGCTAATTACTGGGAGGGTGGAGCTTTCCATTTCTTTATGCATCCAATCCTCTTATTCTGCACGTCCTAATCCTGCTGCTGCTGCTGCACACAGAACACACACGAGTGCCCTTTAAATCTGTGTTTAAATCCATACAGCACTAATGACACTGTGTGTAACTGTGTGTATGTCTGTGTGTGTGTAACTGTGTGTGTGTGTGTGTGTGTGTGTGTGTGTGTGTGTGTGTGTGTGTGTGTGTGTGTGTGTGTGTGTGTGTGTGTGTGTGTAACTGTGTGTTATATCGTCTGTGAGTCATTCAAGCACTTTGTGAAATTCATGCACTCTGGCTGATGGAGGATTACGGTCTGACTGTCACATGAGCGGCAGTTTTTATTGTCTTTTTCACGTGCACGATGAGACACAATCTTCAACATCATCATCATCACGTCCTGCCATCAGGAAATGAATGAATGAAACCCTGACTGATAATTCATCACCTCAGCTGGACTGATGTTTAAACATGGCCGACTGCACGTTTTTGTTCAATAAGAGAAAAATTAGACCTCTGGTAGAAACGTTGCAATCAATTCAAACTTTTTGTGGCATTTGAGCGGGCCTGTGCCGGCCTATCTTCATCAGTTTGCTGATTTGATGACATGTGTATATCTACCTCCTTTTTCAATAAGAGACAAACCAAGAAGATTTTTGGTGCATTAAGTAAAGTCGGAGTCTGAATGGACTGAAAAGTTTTTGTGTTAAACATCTGAAAACCAACAAGCTACTCCTGCGTGAGAGAAATCAGGAAGTGGAGTGACATTATAAAAACTCCCTGTGTCCTGGTTTTACCTCCCCACTCTCCCTCACAACACACACAAACACACATACTGAATACTCACAGCAGAAATACAGCTAAAGTACAGCAGAGTGAAGTTCGGCTGGAGCAGTAGTACTGTACCCTAACTCTGCAGGAGTAGCACATTATTATTATAAGTAGAAGAAAAGTGGTATGAGTAGTCAAGTAGTGCTTTAAGGGTACACATGTACTACGCAAGAGATCAGAGATACTGCTGTAGAAGAAATATTAGAGTAATAGAAATAATAGAAATACGGATGCTGAAGGAGTACAAATTTAGCAATACTACAAGATGAAGAATATTGCAAGAAGAAGGTTGCATTGAATTCCGTTACACACACACTCACACACAAGAATAAGTTGAATTGAAATAACTGTTAAAGTAAAAATACTGAGCACATATGTGGATAATATGGAGCACAACAGGAGATGAAACACTGCAGGGTTACAACAAAAACAACAGAAGTAATGTGAGAAAATGCAGCTAGAGAAGACATTTTGCAGTGAACTAAACACTGTGTTAGTAGAAATACTGGAGTAGGACTGCAGAGATTCAGGTACTGTTAAGATGAAACACTGCAGGATAGACGAGATGCTGCTGCTGCAAGAACTATTTGAGGAATAACTGTGAAAGTAGAAATACCACAGTGGTCAGGATGAGACTTCTTGGGGAGTCTACATTCTGGGTGTGATGATCATAAACAAACGGAAAGGAAGGATGCTTTTCAGCCTTATTCTGGATATTTGTAGGACTCAATAATAACCCAAACATAATTTCTGTCCAGTTTTTCTAAAAAGATTCCGCCTCAAGTATTTTGGATATTAGAAGACGAAGCTCTCTGGGTGAAGTTTCTGATAGAAAACAACCAATGAAATGTCTCCTCTCTGGGAGGCTTTAGTCAAATCTTTCCGACACATCGAACTCAGATTGAAGAAACATTGAGGTCAAGAACTGACTGATTTAAACTGAAATAAACTAGAGTTTTTTGACTATTTCCAACCTGTTTTCTAACAGTTTTCAAACTCAGACATTCTGGGTATCAAACGAGAAAATGTTGAAACTCCCAACAAACCTCAGCGTCTTCAGATTCCTCGATCTCTGTGGACGTCTGGTCCTGCAGCTGCGGTACTTCTCGTCTCGACCTGAACTTGCAAAGGTCTTGTTTCTTCCCAAACGGGTCTGGACAAAGACAGGCAGCTGTTTGAGGCTGCTGTGGCTCGGAGGAGCGACATGATCTACTTCTTAAGGAACCGGGACGGCGGCTCTGTAAAGACCAGTGAAGCTCTGAGAGGACTCTTGTGGCTCTGTGAGAACGAGGACCCTGCAGCTCTGCGAGGACGTCTTGTTCTGCGGCTCGATGTGCAGCCTCAGTGCAGCTAAGGAGAAAAGTCAGGAGTTGACTTTATGCAGCTGAGCGGGTTCATATGACGAGCATGTGAGGCAGCAGGGCTCTTTGTTGGAGCCGGTCTCATGACTCGGGTCCGAGGTAATCCTTCTGGGAGTCTCATGACCCGTGGAGCTTCAGCACGAGCATTTTCTTCATGCGCTCAACAAATCTGCTTTGAGAAATCCGCACAAACACCTAAACATCCAGCTGATGAACATTTTATTCATTTACAGAAAACTGAGTCCAACTTCCTTCTCAAATTTGTGTTTCCCTCTAATCCACATAAATCACCATTTTTCACAGAGAATCCAGACCTTCACAACAACCAGAGTCACATCAGGGGTTTGAGAAACTCGGATCTTGTGAGTCCACAAAGCCTCAGCACGACAAAACTGTCACTTTGGACACGATACCAAAACCAAAAATGTTTCAACAAATCCCACAACTCAGGCGAGTGTCCACTGTCTTGTGTTTTCTGCATGAAAGTTGTGAATCTGTTCCACTATAAGTCAACACAACATGAGAGAAATGTGAGATTTTGCGATTAAATTGTTCACATTTTTTTTTTTACAAGATGTGAGTTAATAAAGTAAACACCCAAAGTTCACCAACAGCTCATCAGTTTTCTTTATCTGTGAAACGTCTGTAAAATATCAATTTAGAAAGTTAAAGTGTACGATGTCTGGGGCTCTGGTGGGGCAGTGGTTAGTGCGAGCACCTCATGTATGGAGACAATAGTCCTCCAAGTGGGACCTGTGGCTCCTTTCTCGCGTGTCACTCCCCCGCTCTCTCTCTCCCTGACAGTGGCGATTCTACAGTCTATTGGGGCCTGAGGCAAAAATTCATTGGGGGGCCCTCCAACCAGCGTTTATCACCACCAGTGTTCCAACACTTACTCCTCTTCCTTTTAGTTACTCTTTCTTTGGTCTTTGGCTTTCAAAACAGCAATGCTATGCTTAGCAGGGCAACAAGTGAGTGCTGTAAGATGGGGCCTCCTTAGGGAGGTTCCTACTTCCTACTGTCATTGGAAAATTTGCACATTTTGAGCCACTGCTGTGGTGTAAAGTTTGTCAGCCCTTCGAGGGCCCCCCTGGCCTAGGGCCCCAAGTAGTTGCCAGCCTTGCCTGTTGACAATCAGCACCTCTGCTCCCTGATTTCCGACTTTTCCGCTGTCCTATCTCTACAATACAGCCCCAAAAAGGCCCAAAAATATATCTTGTACATCATGCTCATGCTGAAATGTCGTGTAGGTAAAGTATGAATGTCCTGAAAAATACTCAAGACTTTTGTGAAACTGTCTTTAAACACTGAAGTCAAACTTTGTTCCTGACTGTCCAAAAAACATATGAACACAAGAAATATTACATTTCAGTGAATAAAGTTCGCACTTCAGGCAGCTGTCACTTTAACTCGCAGCATGAACCGGTGGACCTGAATGTGTTTGAATGAGCGAGCGGCTGAATGAAAACTGTGTTGACGGATTAACAGCAGCTGAGACTCACGACAATGAACAGAGAGTGTGAGCGCGGCCAGCAGGATCTGGATTATCAGGCTTTAAATGAGATTAATGTTGTTCACAGGAGAAACTGGTTTGCATAATGAGCTCTTTATTCAGAGGCTCTTTTTTTTTTTTTTAAATGTTACACAAACCGGAAGTGTGCCTGCAGAGGGTGCTTTAATTATTATTTTTCTTGCTTACTTAGTTCCTCCTAATCTGGCCCTGCTGTGCTGTGATTGACTGGCACTCGCATCCTTAAAGCTTGCCTTCAGAGATTTCTACTAGAAAGATTACCAAGGTTCAAGGTTTCTTTATTAATTAGAACCTAAAAAGGCACGTTTGTGTGGCAGACCGGAGATTCAGCGCTCCAGAGATACATACGAGACATAACAATACAAACACAAGGTTAAAAAGTCAGACAGAATACATCGAGACTTTGGGTCTCAAAGTTCAGGTTGACTTGTTTCATTAACCCAACACATTTTTTGGGGGTGGGGGTGGGTGGGTAGTTGTGGTGGAATGTCAGCTCACAAAGAACCACTGAATGGTTTACGACACACGACCAGAACTCAAGATTATTGTGCTCACTCTGTATGAGTCAGATCTGTGTATTTAAGTTTTCTCACATGTACGGCTCAGATACACACACCGGCAAAAACGCTCTCACTTTCTATCTCACACATTCATTATTTTCATCACCAATAAACACAAGCTAACTAAGAGCTTAATCACAAGACATATTTCCTGTCAGCTTGACCAACGTTTCTTTCATGATGGGGGGGGGGGGCAGATTAAACAGCCGTGCCTGCTGTTGCCATGGTTTTCAGTCACAATTCATACGCATTCCAGTAATGCAACAATCAGTGCGGGGATTTATTGTCACTCGACAAAAAAAATTAAGTATGATGTAAACTGCAAGAGCGATGATGGCCTAGCGGTTAGTTTGCACGCCTGATGTTCAGAGGTAGTAGTGTAGTTCTGGAAGCGGGCGTTCTGGGTTCAATCCGTTCAAGTCCGTCCCCCACTCACTCTGTTGCCCCCTAATTTCCGACCCTATCCACTGTAATCTCTCTCAAATAAAACCCACATATGTTGAAAAGGAAAGGCAGTTGAAGCGACAAAGCAATACAATTTAAAGGAATTAAAAGATAAACCGACGATGAGAGCAAAATAAAAGTCGTCAAATAACGTCTTTTTTTAAATCATTAAAATGGGTCTAGATTTGTGCAGACATACAGATGATGTCATGTTTTATGTGAATTAACAGCTCTTATTAAAACTGTAATTCAAGCTAATGTTCCTCTTTTTATTTTGATGTCCTGCTGTTTGTACATCGGTCTTTGTGCAGCACTTTTGTCGTTTTCTAAAAGTTTCTTTATTAATACATTTGGATTGGAGGCAAAAGTTCCTCAGGGCTGAAAAGTTTCACGGTCACAGGCGGAGGTTAAATGTGTCTGATTTGAGTCACATGTCGGGCTGAGAGAAGAAACAGCTGATTGTGTTTATGGAGAAAAAAAATAAAATCACATGAAGTCAATTAAACCCGAACTGATCAGGTCACATGACACAAAGGGTCGTGTTTGTTTCTGTGTTAAATCATCGTCCTCATCCGGACCAATAGTGTCTGTTTCTAGAGAGTGTGTGTGTGTGTGTGTGTGTGTGTGTGTGTGTGTGTGTGTGTGTGTGTGTGCGTGTGTGTGTGTTGTGTGTGTGTGTGTGTGTGTAACAGGGTTTTATTTTCACGTGTATCCTCCATTTATTTTTGGGCTTTTTGTGCCGGAGCCTCTGGACTGGAGCCGCCGTATGTGACGCGTGCACTAACCACTGTGCCACCAGCGCCCCTATCTCCCATTTTTTTGTCATAATTAAACAGCATTACCAAGAAATGGTTGGTTTCATGGTTGACTGAAAGGAAGTCAAGTCTAGACTCCACAATGTTCGGCGCCTCCTTTGTCTGTTTTCTTCTTCTGTGGTTATTTTGTAACTTATTTTTCTCCTCCTCCATTTAGTCTGTTGTTTTGCTTAAGTTTTGATCTCAATCGCTGCTCTTATCTATTGAGTTCTTTCATGTATTTTTCTGAATGAGAGAATAAAACATTGTCTACGCAGAAGTCCACGGGTCCCATGCTCCATGCTGCATGTTTCTACTTTCGACTTAGTTTGTTTTGTTTCCTCTGCAGATTTTATTTGGACGTTTCGGTGGGCTTTGTGTTTGGTTTGAGGAAAAAATAGGGTCAATCTGTTTTTAATGCCCGGGCTTTTTGTTTTATCCTGATCCATTTTGTGTTTGCAGCTTCTTACATCAGTCGTGCAGCTCAACCATCAAATAATCCGCAGAAAATCTTAATTCTCCAAAACACAGAGTCATTGATGAATTTATTATGACCTTTAGGTTAATAGACTTTAATTTTTACATATCAGCTTCATTGTTTTTTTGTTTTTTTTTACTTTGGGATCAAAAAAGTCCATTCATCCATGCAACCATCCATCGTCCATCCATCCATCCATGCATCTATTTACTTATCCATCCATCCATCCATCCATCCATCCATCCATCCATCCATCCATCCATCCATCCACCCATCCATCCATCCATCCATCAATGCATCTATTTACTTATCCATGCAGCCATCCATCCATCCATCCATCCATCAATCCATCTATCAATGCATCCATCCATCCATCCATCCATCCATCAATGCATCTATTTACTTATCCATGCAGCCATCCATCCATCCATCCATCCATCCATCCATCCATCAATCCATCTATCAATGCATCCATCCATCCATCCACCCATCCATCCACCCATCCATCCATCCATCCATCCACCCATCCATCCATCCATCCACCCATCCATCCATCCATCCATCCATCATAACTTAGGATAATTCTGTATTCTGTTTCCCAGTTTTTTTTTACCAAACTCTGAGCCTTTGTCTGACACCGTTTTTATTAAAAAATGAAGATAGACTACATGAGTGGTGTGGAGTGAACATGTTTCACTATTTATGAAAAAAAGAGGACAATAAAGGAAAACAAAGATGTGATCCAACAATGGAAAACTGTTTGTGAAACCTAAAGGAAAGTTATCCTTAAAAAGACTATTCAACTCTAAAAAATCTAGTTCTTTGGAAATATTACCAATTTCCTTCCAAAGTTATCCAACAAATACTTTTTGTTTTTGGTATTTCGGGACATATGGAGTAACCATGAATCAAGCGAGTGAGTTTGAACAACAAGAAGTGTCAGTCTTACCCTCTGTGATCCAGAAGAAGCGCTGCGTTTGATGGACGAGCGTTTCACCGATCCGTTAGTTCCTCTCCTCCCTCGGCTGTCCATGTTGTCCAGTTCACCTGTCCAACGCGTACATCATCCCGTGCTCGCTGTCTCCTCTGTCTCTTGTAGTCTCCTTGTCTACTCCACTCTGGAATCAACTTGTTTCCTAATAATTTGTACACTCTTGTTTTATCTTCCTTATATCTCGTCTCCTTGAGCCACTTCTATCTCTTGTGTCTATCGTCTCCTGTAGTCTCCTTCTGGATGCTCAGTCTCTGGTCTCCTCTGTGTCTTTCCTACTCTATCTCTTGTCTTCTAGTGTCATGTGTCTCCTTTGTTTCCTGTCAACGACTTTTCTTGTCTCTTTTGTATCTTTGCAGAAATCTCCCTCCTCTCTCTGTCTCTAGTCTCCCGTTATCGTCTTCTTCTGTCTCTTCTTCTTCTTCTGCTTCCTCCTTCTTTTGGTTCCTCTTGTCTCGTGTGTCTTTCCTCCTTTTGTCTCTTCTAATGTCCTTTGTCTTTAGCTTTTGTCTGCTATTGCCCCTTATTTTTTTCCTTTTCTTAAATCTCTTACCCCCTCTTGTCTCCTTGTATCTTTGTGTCTCCTCTGCCTCTTTACTTTCCTTGTCTCCTTAGCCTCTTACCTCACCTTGTCTCCAGTATCTGCCACTAGTATTTGAATGCAGTCTCCTCAATGTCTTGCTTCCTCTTGTCACCTTCTTTCTCCTCTTGCCTCTTTAATTCATAGTTTCCTGCCTCTTCTTGTCTCTCCCTGTTCTAGTGTCTTCTATCTCTTGTCTCTCCTTGTTGTCACTTGTCTCCTTTTGCTTCCCCTGCCTGTCTCTATATCTTGTCTGTCTCCTGTCTCCTCAGCGTCAGCCAGCTGTCCTCCAGCCTTGAGCTCGTGATGTGTTCAGGCGTCCGTGGTGGTTATATGACAGGCGGAGACCCTGTCCTTTCCTCTCTGCCTCTGTAATCAGGATTAGTGGATGCTGCTGAGAATGAAGGGTGGTGCTCTTTAATGGATGGAGATTTAATAAATGGTGATTGAAGGTAAATCTACTTTAGGATGACTCTGCCTCCCTAACCACTCTGAACGTAGAGCAGAGCTAGCAGAGAGCTCGTTATTTATGACTTTCTGTTGCTCGATGAGTCCAACGCACTGAAAGATTCACTGAAACAAATCTGCAGTATAGTTGATATGAATTCGGGTGTGCATAGGTCTGATATCTTTATTAAAAAAAAAGAGAACAGTTTGACTGCTTTCCCTGCAACAAGCTGTTGCAGGGAACTGCAATGCCTTCTGTTTTTGTGACTTGTTTGCCCCAAGAGAAGTTCAGGTATCTCATGGTCTTGCTCACCAGTGAGGGCAAAAGTTATCCTGAGATGGAACGGCAGGTTGGTGCAGGATCTGCAGCACTACAGATGTTGTACCAGACTGTCCTGGTGGAGAGAGAGCTGAGCATGAAGATACAACTTTTGATTTACTTTAGGTAGTGACTGAAAGAATGAGATCACAGATACAAGTGGATGAAATGAGTTTCCTCTGAAGGGTGTCTGGACTCAGCCTTAGAGAGAGAGGGTGAGGAGCTGCTTCTTCTTCGCATCAAAAAAGGAGCCAGTTGAAGTGGTTCAGATCATCGGATCAGGATGCTGCGCGGTCCAACTGGGAGGACAGTAGAGCTGGCTGGAGGGATTATTATTATATATTCCAGAGCAAAGGGCATCTCTTTGCGTTTCAACCCCTCAGCTTCGTGTTGCTGTGCACTTTTGGCTAACCTACTCCAACGCTCTCCAAAACGTGAAGCATGGACCCAAACCGTTACATACGTAATACTAAGATATTCAGATTTTCAACTACTTGTAATGCTGGAAAAACAACAGCGGACCAGCTTACCTGGGGTTGGTAGTGCATCGGTCTCTGAAGCGGTTACAGGCACACTTGAGTGGGTTCAGAGGTGAAGGTGGAAAAGTAGGAAAAAGAGTTTCAGCCTCTGTCAGGGTGTTAAGAGTATACTGCACAGGTGTGCTGGGAAAGAAAATAGGTAAGAGCTTCCTTGTGGTGATGGATCACTATTTGTTACCATTCCACCTCAACCTCTCTCACACGTGTGCCTGTAAGCGCGTCAGAAACGACTCCACTACCAACCCCAGGTAAGCTGGTCCACTGTTTTCCAGTGATTTGTCCGTGTTACAGCGCACCTGTTCTACAATTCTACAATTCACTTAGCAGACGCTTTTGTCCAAAGCGACGTACATCAGAGAGTAAGTATAACACAAGCAAGGATCTAGAAAAAAGGGAACAGTGTCAGTAAGAGTAAACGATCAGCTTTGAGTCTGATTGGACACACAGGTGCTGACAGGAATTGCAAAGTCAAAAGAAATGTAACATATTTGAAATTCATACATGTAAAAGTAACAAAAAGAGGTTTTCCCGGATGTGAGGCAGTGATTGGTAAAGCATTTTATTGACAGCGATCAATAACTAGTTACAAAGAGCAGCACGTCATTATAAATCACTGTTAAACTGTCGCTGAATTTGTATTAAATACCCCAGGACGAATAGCTTCTCGCTAAGCTGCAGCTAATGGGGATCCAAACAAACAAACAAACAAACAAACAAACAAAGAGAAATGCCTCTAAATCAAATTCTGACTCTAAAGAAGCAGCTGCAGCTTCACAGTGGTTTATTAAGTTAAACATTTCTGTACACTATTCAGCATTCATGCTCTATTACTTTGGAGTTTCATCACTGTCCCTGTAAATATCTATCTGATGCCTGCATGTTGTTTGAAATAAAAGTGATTGAATGTTTGACGTCTACTCGTGAATGAAGCTGAAACCCTTCAGGATTAAAGTGATATTCTGCTGTAATCCAGCGAACACACGACACTGTTTGACGAGTCACAATACAGAGAGTCAGGATTATTGTTCTGCTGTCACACAGGAACACTTTGCTCAGTGTGGCTGTGTTATCTCTTTTATACCTCTGGGACCAATTCAACTGAAGGGCGGCTGAGGCTAAGTGGTAGAGTCGGTCGTCTCTCAACCGGAAGGTCGGGGGTTCAATTCCCAGCTCCCGAATCAATGTGAGCAACTTGAGGTTAAGTGTCGTGCACAGTGATGGAAATGTGGATGTGCTGCCACATCAGACATGCGGCTGCAGGATGTCCACATTTCCATCCCTGTGCACAACACTTAACCTCAAGTTGCTCACATTGATTCGTCGACAGCGTATGAATGGGATTAATTAAAAGGCAGAGTTGTTAATTTTCTCCAGATACACTTTTTAAGATTTTGGTTGAAATTGTCTTTAGGTCCTGACAGAAATTAATAACTCATGTGCTCTGAAACAGGAACGAAGAAAATCCGTCATCTGTAGCAGTTGTAAGCCTGTAAAAACTTCAACCAGTGTCTGCCACGAGGTACCAATCTGATGAACCAATCAGGCGCCTCCCTGTCTCCCTGCTCGCTCTCTACCCTTTGCGTGCACGAGCCCACACTCAAAGCAATGAGCTGAGGTCCGCTTCTGGAGAAACGGCGATTGTGCATGTAAGTGAGGGGGCGTGGCTTATGAGGGAGCACAGAGGGGAGGGGGGTGGGTGCAGACGGAGCACTGAGGGAATGCTACTTTCAAAATCATGCTAGTTTTAGAAAATTACCAACCCTGCCTTGAAATGCTGATGGTCACTTTACACAGCAGCCTCGACCATCAGTGTGTGAGTAGTAGTCAGAAGACTAGAAAAGAAATAAACAAGGTGAAAGTTTGAAAACAAAACAACTGTGCCAACATACTCACATAATTAAAATATATTTACAAGTAAACAATCTTAAAAAGTCATGATTCAAAGATGCTTTTACAAGAGATGTTTAAAGTCTGTAGTTTTCACATCGCAGCCTTTGTTGTCCAGACAGGGCGGGCTGCGGGTCGGTTGGATGGCACAGTGTGTGTTTGAAGAGTCCACAGTCGGCCTGCTACAGGTCTTAAAGACATCCCCTTATCGGTGTGTGTTTGAGGACTTCAGGACATCACAGTGTCTGCGTGTTGGAGATCTTCTTGATTTCACATTCTGTGTTTGATGCCCAGGAGGATTTCAGGACACCGTGTTTTGAGGACTCAGTGTCGATGGTGTGTTTGAGGTCCCTGGGACTTCACATTGTTGGTAGAGTGGAGGATGTCAGGACCTCATAACGTCTGTTTAAGGACTTCCGGTGTGTTTGAGGACCACAGGAACTCACAGAGTCCGTGTCTTTGAGGCCTTCAGGATGGCCCGGTATTCGCTGCACTGAGTAGATGTGAGAAAAGCGATTCTGGTTTTTGTCTCAACACATCTGGATGATCGAACTCGACCACCTGCAGGACAGCAACAGAGTTTTTCACACAAAACGCCTGAAACATTACTAGTTTAATCTGTTTAAAGCCGGGCGTACACTAGACGATTGTCTAAAAGTTGTGGTTAAATGTCGGCTCTCAATGTACGACTGAATCATTTCCACCACACGACCAAGCCTTTCTCTGGTGATAGAAGGGGGGAAGACACATGACACATGCCTGCTGTTGCCATGGTGATTTTAAATGCTGTCTAATAATTTGCGCACTAGCAATCAGGAAAAAGCAGATGAGGAAACGGCTGGTGGTGCTGTTCTATCTGTGGGAATATGCAGTCGTGCAACCTAAATATCAAACATGCCAAAATGTCCTCTGACCTGTCAGGAGCAGCTGATCAGGTGTCATGACCCCCGTACACTGACAGCAAACAACGGGGGATCGGGCTGAAAATCAGCTGACTTCATAATCAACCATGTGACTCAAAAATCCTGTCTACATCGGTCTTAAATAGTTCATTGCATGCCCAGCTTAACTCTTCTTTATGAAAATATTTATGACTAAACTAAGGATGTGTTGGTCATGTTGATCTCATTAGTAAGTATAAACAGAACAAAACCTGACCTGTACACCTGTGTGACACCTGAACTAACTGCAGACCGTGTGAGTTACCTCTCCATGGTCCAGGACCAGGATGCGGTCGGCCTGCAGGACCGTATTGATGCGGTGAGTGAAG